TACTGGCAGAAAAACAGGCATATAGGTCAGTGGAACAGAACAGAGAACCCAGAAATTGACCCAAGCCGTTACGCTCAATTAATATTTGACAAAGGAGGCAACAGCATACAATGGAGTCAAAAGGGTCTCTCTGATAAATGGTGTTGGGAAAATAGGACAGATATGTGCAAAACAAACAAACAAAACAAAAAACTAGACAACCAACTTACACCATACACAAGAATAAATTCAAAATGGATAAAAGGCTTAAATGTAAGTTGTGAAACCATAAAAATCCTACAAGAAACCATAGGCAGCAAAATCTCAGACATCTCTCATAGCAATATGTTTACAGATATATTCCTAGGGCAAAGGAAACTAAGGAAAAAAATAAACAAATGGGACTACATCAAAATAAGAAGCTTCTGCACAGCAAAAGAAACCACCAACAAAATGAAAAGAAAGCCTCCTGTATGGGAGAACATATTTGGCAATGATAGATCTGATAAAGGATTAATATAAAAAATATACAGGGAACTCATACAACTTAACAAAAGGAAGACAAACAATCCAATTAAAAAATGGGCAAAGGACCTAAATAGACACTTCTCCAAAGAGGACATACAGATGGCCAAGAGACATATGAAAAAACTAGAGGCCCGATGCACAAAATTTGTGCAAGAGTAGGCCATCGCAAACCTGGCTGCCTTGGCCCTCACAGCCCTGGCTTTGTCTGGAAGGTCGTCCGGACAGTTGTTCCATTGTTCGGCCATTCGGTCGGTTTGCATACTGAGCTTTTATTATTTAGACTAGAGGCCCAATGCATGAAATTCGTGCACTGGAGGGGGGGGGTGTGTCCCTCAGCCCAGCCTGCACCCTTTCCATCTGGGACTCCTCAGAGGATGTCTGACATCCCTCTCACAATCTGGAAACACTGGCTCCCAACCGCTTGCTTGCCTGCCTGCCTGCCTGCCTGATTGCCCCTAACCACTTCTGCCTGCCAGCCTGATTGCCTCTTAACCTCTCCCCTGCCGACCTGATTGATGCCTAACTGCTCCCCTGCCAGCCATATTGCCCCCAACTGCCCTCCACTGCTGGCCTGGTCGCCGCCAACTGCCCTCCCCTGCCAGCCTGATCGCCCACAAAACTGCCCTCCCCTGCCGGCCATCTTGTGACGATGTGGGGGAGGCCATCTTGTGATGATATGAGGGCACGAAGGCCACCTAGGCTTTTATTAGTATAGATGCTCAAAGTCACTAATCATCTGAGAGATGCAAATCAAAATAACAATGAGGTACCATTCTCACACCTGTCAGAATGGCTACCATCAACAAGTAACAAGTGTGGAGAGTATGTGGAGAAAAGGGAACCCTGGTACACTGCTGGTGGGAATGCAGACTGGTGCAGCCACTGTGGAAAACAGTATGGAGTTTTCTCAAAAAATTAAACATGGAACTGTCATTTGACCCATTGATCCACTTCTAGGAATATATCCTAATAAACCTGAGACACAAAACAGAAAGAATGTATGCACCCCTATGTTCATAGCAGCACAATTTACAATAGCTAAGATCTGGAAACAGCCCAAGTGTCCATCAGTAGAGGAGTGGATAAACAAGCTGTGGTACATTTATACCATGGAATACTATGCAGCAGTAAAAAAGAATCCCTTACTCTTTGGGAGGGACCTGGAGAGTATTACACTAAGTGAAATAAGTCAGTCAGAGAAAGACAAGTATCACATGATCTCACTCATACGTGGGACCTAATGAACAAAATAAACTGATGAAGTGAGTGGATCCAGAGATGTGAAAGCATGAAACAGATTAGAGAATCTCAGAGGGAAGGTGGGGGATGGTGGGTGGGTGGGAAGACCACTGAAATAACTTGTATGCATATATGCATAACCCATGGAAATAGACAACAGGTTGGTGAAGGCCTGGGGCGAGGTGCAGGGGGGCAGGCTAGAAGGGGTCAATGGGGGAAAAAAGAGGACATATGTAATACTTTCAACAATATACATAAAAAAATTTGTTTAAAAAGAAAGAATAAAACAGTATGGAAATTCCTCAAAAAATTAAGAATAAAGTTACCATATGACCCAGCAACCCCTCTTCTGGGTATCTATCTGAAAATTTTGAAAACATTTCTTTGCAAAGATATATGCACTCCTATGTTCACTGGAGCATTACTGATGGTGGCCAAGACATGGAAACAACTAAAGTGCCTTTAGCTAAGTGACTGGAAAAAGATGTGTTACATATATACAATAGAATACTACTAAGCCATAAGACAGGATGAAATAGTGCCATTTGCAACGTGGGTGGATCTTGAGAATATCATGCTAAGTAAAATAAGCCATTCAGAAAAAGAACCATATGAGTTCACTCATATGTGGGATATAAACTGAAAGTTAACAAATGAAAAAACAAGAAAAACAAACAAAAACTCAGACACAGATAACAGTATGGTGGTTACCAGAGGGAAGGGGAGTGGGGGAACAGAAAGGGTAAAGTGGGCCAAATATGTGATGACAGAAGATGATTTGACTTTGGGTGGTGGACACACAATGCAATATACAAATCATGTATCACAGAAATGTACTTGAAAATTATATAATCTTATTAAGTAATGTCATCCCAATAAATTTAATTAAAAAAGAGGACCCAAATAAAATTATAAATGAAAGAGAAGTGACACCCAATACCACAGAAATACAAAGGATTATAAGGAAATACTATAAACAATTGTATGCCAACAAATTGGACAACCTGGAAGAAATGGATAAAGTTTTAGAAACACACAATCTTCCAAAACTAAGTCAAGAAGAACCAGAAAATGTGAATAAACCAATAACTATTAACAAAATTGAATCAGTATTAATAGAAACAACAAAAGCACGGAACCAGGTAGCTTCACAGGTGAATTTTAGCAATCATTCAATACCTATCCTTCTCAAACTACTCTAAGAAATTAAAGAGGGAGGCTCCTAAGCTCATTTTAAAAGCCGGCATTATCTTGATACTCAAACCAGAGAAAGACATTACAAAAAAGAAAATTATAAGCCGATATCCTTGATGAACATAGATACAAAAATCAATATTAGCAAACCAAATTCAACAATACATTAAAAAGATCATATCGTACACCAGGATCAACTAGGATTTATTCCCAAGATGGAAGGCTAGTTCAATATCCACAAATCAGTTAACATGATGCACCACATAAACAAAACAAAGGATAAAAATCACATGATCGTATCAATAAATTCAGAAAAAGCATTTGACAAAATCTAGCATCCATTTATGATAAAAGCTCTCAGCAAAGTGGAACATACCTCAACATAATAAAGGCCATATATGACAAATCACAGCCAACATCATTCTCAATGGGCAAAAATTAAAAATGTTTCCCTTAATATCAGGAACAAGACAGGGATGTCCGCTTTCACCATTTACATTCAACAGGGTACTACAAGTCCTAGTCACAGCAATAAAACAAGAAATAAAAGGCACCCAAATAGGAAAGGAAGAAGTAATTAATAATGGAAGAAGTAAATAATTTGTCATTATTTGCAGATCACAAATCTTCATTAGTCATTCAGTGTCACCCTATACTCTCAGACCTAGTATGCTGTCCACATTTCTATGTTTTTCCAGTTGGTACTAGAAATCATTGATCCCATCACTCTCCAAACACTTCCTCATGTTGGTTCCTGTGGGATGACCACAATTATCATATCTTATTTTTAGCTCCTCACACCATTCACAAGATAATGTAGGTTCTCAAAAACATACTAAGTCATTTTAACCTACAATATCATTCACAGTCATACCAAAGGTACTAAACTCCAGGATGACTTGGTTTCTGTGGCCCTCCAGTCAGTGCATTCATGCAGAATGCCTGCTACAAACTATTCCTTTGAAAGAGTATTTATTTATAAAATAAATAAATTTTATTTTTCCATTTACCATATTCTCCATGGATATTTTGACAATAAATATGTGACTTACATTAGCAGCATTACTTTTAGGCCAGATTTTAGAATAACAATTTATTGACTATCTAGCACATACAAAATCTCTACTGTACTAGTCAGAAGTTATAAAGGAAAATAAAAGGTTGGTATCTTCACAGGTTTTACAGATTCAGAATTTAGTTTAAGAGTATTGATAACTACCATTTATTGAGGACGTACTATAAGCTAGGTGCTTTTCCTACCACAATCTTCTCAAATATCTTACAAAATAGATAATTCCATTTTACAAAAGAGGAGTCTGGGACTAAGAGTTACATAGTAAATGACTGAGCTGGCATTTGAACCCAGATCTCTCCGTGGCTAAAATGCTCCATGCTGGTTTCTCTGATATACACTGATCACCAGCCCTACTCAACCACAGGCCCACTTCAAAGCTCAACCACCACATCCATTCCCTTCACACAGAAGCCCTGTATCTGTGAGAACAATGAAAAACCAAACACCAGATTTACATTCAGTACACTTGTTGTTAAATTAAACCTAGACAAAATCAGACTGAGAACCCTTCGAATAACATTTCTGCGTGTGTGTTTCCCTCAGTACGAAGGAACCAAAAATTTAATGAGAAAAAAAAATCATTCAAGTGTGCTACATTTAATACCAAAAACTAAAAGTAACATCACCTTCTAGATCTTATACATTTAGTGGTGACCCACTGACAAATGAAGCAGAAAAATAAGCCATCATCCAGACAACTTTTGGCTAACTGCATATTATTTTTGCAAAATCAGGAATTTTGTCAGTATGATATAATCATCAATTCACTTATTTGCTGCATGCACTTTGACAATATAGACCACACTTCAGAGTATTTTCTGATACAGGTAGACACAAGAGGCAAGTCGCACCAATCTTGGTAGTCAAAATGGATGTTCTCAGTTCACCTATTTTGTTTCCATTTTCATCCGCTACTGTACCTGTGAAGCAAGGCCTAAAGGAAACCCTATAGCAGTATCTGATGAATCAAAGGTATGGGACTTACCACATTAGAGTTGAGATGAGAAGACCAACGCCCACACAATCTATGAACACAACCCAAAGGAGCAGCTTTATCATCTTAAAAAATCCCATGTCCAGCACAAAGCCAAATCCTACAGTGGACACTGAAAGAAAGATTTACAAGATTCATCAGGCACTTTGCAAGGCTCTGGGGATACTGGACACAGCCCCTGCACCTCCAGATGCCCTCGGTCCAGTGGGGGAGAGACATGAAAACAAAACCTCCAAGATGTGTGCTATGGGATTAAGAAATGCAGACCAACGTGGGGCATGGAAGGGCCACTGAGCTATCTCGTTTACCAAGAAGGACCTCTTCTGTCTGTGCTTCACCAGGGTGGCCCAGCTTCTCAGTTAAAGGTGAGAAAAACCTCACACTTCAACGCCCTAAAGACGTTCCCTACACTACCGAAGAACTTAAAAGTTTCTCAAGTTCCTCGGTTGATCTCTTCCCCTTACCCCCGCCCTCCCCTACTTTCCTTCTGGGGATTGATAGCCTGATTGCTGTTTCTCAGTCTTTGGGTCTGTCCCTTTTCATCAGTCTATGTTGTTCTCTATAATCCACAAATGAGTGAGATCATGTGGTATTTATCTTTCTCTGACTGGCTTATTTCACTTAGCATAATGCTCTCCAGTTCCATCCATGCTGTTGCAAAAGGCAAGAGTTCCTTTTTTTTTTACTGCAGCATAGTATTCCATTGTGTATATGTACCACAGTTTTCTAATCCACTCATCTGCTTGTATACATGTATATAAGCCAAACCAATGGACATGGACAACGGGGGGTTGGGAGCATGAGTTTGTGTGTGGGGGGGAGGTTGGGGGTTAATGGGGGGGATGAGGACACATTTGTAATACCTTAACTAATAAAAAAAAAAAAAAAAAAAAAAGTTTCTCAAGTTCCTAGCAGCGTTTTTACAACTCCCCCTCTGCATTTCCCTGATGGTGAACAGCAATTTACAACCTTGACGTTCCTCCCTGTTCACAGTAAGTTTGCCTTTGGGGACGGAGGTATCTATCACAGCGGTTAGGAGCCACCGAGTGCCTGTTCCTCCGCTTTTTCATGTTCCCAGGTAACCGCGTACTCTGGCAACGGCTTGGGCCCTTTACAACCAGGAAGAATACAGAAAAGAGGCAGCAGCTTTAAATGAACCCAAATTCCGACCCACAACAGTTTACAACAAAAGAGTCCCCAAATGGCAAGTCCGATCATACGCTCAATTTGTTTTTTCAACTGTTCTGCAGACCAGCGCACACTTACCGCACAGCCAGACACTTAGCAGCACCAAGAAAGCCGGGTCGTCTCTAGCCCACTGATCCTTCGTCTGCTTTCGGTAATGAAAGTTCCTGTAGACCCTCTGCGGGGAAGTGAACAGGTAGAGCATCTGCCAGCCAGCAAACTCGAAGTCCATTTGCCGGAAACGGAAAAGCCTCCTCAGGTATTTGTAGCGCTTCGCCCCCGCCGTGTGTCTCGCTGCATCCCTGGAATTCAGGGCTCCGTTCCCCTGCAGCGGGGAGCTCGCTGAAGTACTTGGTAACATCTTCCTGGGGGGTGAAAACTTTGACTAGGAACAGGAAGGACTCCTCTTCCGAGACATGCAGGTGGGGGGTCGCCTGACACTTCTGCCCCACTCCTTCCTTGGGAAGGGACAGCTGGCATAGTGGCCAGGGGCAGCACCACACCATTCTGAACCATCACAGCAACGCCTAACACCTACCGGGGCCATATCTCAATCAGAGAGAGAGAGAGAGCGCTCAAATTCTGGCTCTCAACCCCGTGCTCCTAGGTACCCGCCTCTACGTAAATGACCTCATCACACAGGTGGTCCATCAAAGCATTACCAGTTCCCCAGAAGGTGATTTAAAAATAAAGCAAAACTAAAACCCAGTGTTTTGCTCCACGAAGAGTTCATCGGGAACGACACCGTGGGAGACGGGTCGGACCACCCCGAAGCCAGGCGAGCGCCCCGGCGGCCTCCAGCTCCGCTCCCGACTCCGGGCGAGTCCGGCCGCGGGCAGGGCCGCCAGAGCAACAAACAAAGCCGCCCTCTCACACCGGAATCCGACCCAGGCGCGCCGCTGGGGTCAGCACGTCCCACCTGCCTGGCCATGCTCGTACTAAACACTGGTCCTCGTGTGTCTGAACTTCAACTCTAGCTGGGTCCCCGGGTCCTTCCCGCCCCCACCGCCGGCCCAGCTGCGGGCCCGGCCTGTCACTCCAAAGCCGAGGGGCGTCGCTCCGCGGCGGACAGAGGAAAGGGCACCGGGCGAGCCCGCGCCGCGTCGCACGGAGCGCTCCCCAGAACTCACCGGGCGCCCCGCGGCGGCCTCCACCGGCGGCAAACCCCCGCCCGCCACCTCGCCCAGCAGCCGAGCCGAGCGGAGCCGCCGTAGGACCTACTTCCCTTCTCGAGACCTACGCCGCTCCCCCGGCGCGACACGTGACGCGAGCCTACTTCCGCCGCGCGCGGCCTCCGGGGACTTGTAGCGCTTCCCCCCCACCCCCCCTCCCTCGAGCTCGCCGGAAGTTGTTGCTGCGGTTTCCGGTTCCTTCCACGGGGGACGTCGCTTGCGGGCAGCCGGGTCGCTGCCTTGGCGGCCGGAAGTAGCGCGGCGGTGGCGGGCGGCCGGCGCAGCCATGCCGCGGTATTACGAGGACAAGCCGGAGGGCGGCGCGTGCGCGGGCGTGAAGGAGGACCTGGGCGCCTGCCTGCTGCAGTCCCACTGTGTGCTCCAGGTAGCGCGCGGGCGCCTCGGCGGCTGTCGGCGGGGTCGGGGAGGCGGGCCGGCGCGGTGTCCGGCCGCCCTCGCCGGCGGTCAGCGCGCCTGACCGGGTGACGGGTGCTGGGTTCGCACGGCAGCCCCGACGTAATCAGCTTGGACGTATCCGCTGTGGGAGCCTCGGGTCCCTCCGGTTTTAAATGGGAGATCACGACGCCGCCCCGTTGGATTTTTGTGAAGATTAAACCATTTCGGTTAAATAAACATTGATTGAATGCTGCCTTTTCCACATACAGAGGGCAGTCGGTGGTGTGCAACTGGAGATACAGTTTCAGAAAGGTGCTGTTATTGAGTTAACTATCCCCAAATGGTCCTGACCATGAGGCTGTGTCGGTGCTTCTGGTCCTGGTTTACGTTTGGTTTCCTAGTTTCAGCAGCCGGCCGACTGTAGACGGTTATGGACCTGAGAGGGTACCTAGGCCAGCTTCCCGGTGCCCGCGAGGCCCGCGAGGACACGGGGGCCCCGCCCTGGCCCCTGCCGGCTGCGTCCGGGCTGCGCCTCCCGCGCCAACGCCCCTTCAGCCCCTGAAATGCCTGCGCAGCGGCTGCAGGACGCCGGGCACAGCCTGGTCTGAAGGGAAGGACAGGCAGGTGAGGAGCCGGGTTCCTGCGCGAAACGCCCTGTGAGCGCTGACGTAATGAGTAGCCTTAGGAGCAGAATTCCTTGGGAGCCCATGCAGAGCGCCTTATTTTATCAGAGTGCACACCCCGCACTGGGGATGTGCCTGCAACCAACATGCCCTTGACCGAATCGAACCTGGGACCCATCAGTCCGCAGGCCGCCGCTCCATCCACTGAGCCAAACCGGTCAGGGCCAAGCTGGGTTGTGTTTTTGCAGTGATTGAATTTATTTAGCAAACTTTTGAGTGCTGCGCTCCAGTTCTGGGGCGTCCGGATGAATGGGACACGTTCTCTCCTGTGCAGAAACGGCACCTCTGGAGATGAGAAAGCGGGGCCAGGACACGGGGCACAGGCCGTGCGGTCCCTGTTGGTAGTGGCCTTATTGACGCTCAACTGGGTCACCGAGGAGAACCGGATGCTCATATGCAGCCCCGTAAAGGGAAGGGCATTCAGTCTGTGGTAAATTCATCCTGAGCAGTGACTTCGGCTGGAGTGTAAAAGGCAGTACCGAGGCAGAACAGTGTGTTTTGCAGATCCAGGACAACAGTCTGCCTTTGGTGGTTTGGGGGAGTGGTTGCAGTGGTGGGATTGGGGTGTCAAATCTGCCTGAGGGGAAATCTCTGATTACACAGAGCAGGTGAAATTTGGATTAATTTTTCCTGATGCATGAACGCACCAGGTGATTCTATTTAAGGAGTAAGTACTTCGTCTTATTTCATTAACATCTATCTAAAGTGTTTTGTAATAACACTAACATTGTTCTGATTTTAGAGCACCTTAATTCTGGCTGTTTGAGCTTTTAAAGTAACACTGAACCGGGTCATTTTTATCCTCAAAATTGCTTGACTCATTTTACATTGGGAACTCACTTTGAGTAAGAAGATATAATGATCTTCCTTTATATTGCCAAGCACTGCATAAGGCTGGTGTTTATAAGCAGTATATGTTCTACTTTTGTTAATATTTATTTAATAGTAAAATAATGTAAGGTTTTGATTTTTCCCCTCATGAATTGCAAATCATAGCTTGATGTCATTAAACCTCATATAATTCAAAAAATTCAAGTTCAGTCTTTTTCCAGATGTATTATATATTTACTACAGGCCTGGTGCACGAAATTCATGCACTGGGGGGGGGGGGTGGACCCTCAGCTTGGCCTGCGCCCTCTCGCAGTCTGGGAGCCCTCAGGGGATGTCCCACTGCCATGGAGGCGAGAGGCTCCCGCCACTGGCACTGTGCTCACCAGCCTTGAGCCCAGCTTCTGGCTGAGCAGCGCTCCCCCTGTGGAAGCACACTGACCACCAGGGGGCAACTCCTGCATTGAGCGTCTGCCCCCTGGTGGTCAGTGTGCATCATAGCAACCAGTGGTTCTGCTATTCGATGATTGGCATGTTAGCCTTTTATTATATACTAGAGGCCCGGTGCACAAAAATTTGTGCACTCGGGGGGGAGGGGGGTCCCTCAGCCCGGCCTGTACCTTCTCGCAGTCTGGGACCCCTCAGGAGATAACGCCCTGCTGGCTTAGGCCCACTCCTGGGTGGCAGAGGGCAGGCCCAAACCCTAGGTGCAGCCCCTGGTCGGGCTCAGAGCAGGGCCGATTTGGGAGTTGGGGCGCCGCCCCTGTCATGCACATAGCAGGGCGGATCGGGAGGTTGTGATGCCACCCTCAGTCACGCTCAGGGTAGGGCCGATTGGGGGGTTGGGGCACTGCCCCGTCACACTCAAGGCAGGGTTGATGGGGAGGTTGCGGCGTCACCCCGTCACACACAGAGCAGGGCCAATCAGGGGGTTGGGGTGCTGCCCCCTGTCACTCACAGAGCAGGGCCCATCGGGGGGTTGGGGCTCCGTACCCTGTCATGCACAGAGCAGGGTCGATCAGGGGGTTGAGGAGCTCCCCGCTGTCACACACAGAGCAGGGCGCACCAGAGGGTTGGGGAGCTCCCCATCACTCACAGAGTAGGGCCGATAAGGGAGTTGGGGCGCCGCCCCCTGTCACACACACAGCAGGGCGGATCGGGGTTGGGGCGCTGCACCGTCACACTCAGGGCAGGGCCAATGGGGAGGTTATGTCTCTACCCCATCACACACACAGCACGGCCCGTGAGGGGACATTTGGGGCGCCGCCCTCTATCACCCACAGAGAAGGGCCAATCAGGGGGTTGGGGCGCCGCCACTGTCACACTCAGGGCAGGGCCCGTGGGGGGGGGGGTGGTGGTTGGGGTGCCGCACCCTGTCACACACAGAGCCGCAGGGCGATCATGGGGTTGGGGAGCTCCCCCTATTAGGCACAGAGCAGGGCTGATCAGGGGGTTGGGGCACCTTCCCCTGTCACGAACAGAGCAGGGCCGATAGGGAGGTTGTGGCCCCGCTCCCTGTCATACACAGAGTCGCAGGGCGATCAGGGGGTTTGGGCGCTGCCCCCTGTCACGCTGATCCCGGTGCCGGAAGGCCTCGCGGTTCTGCTGATCCCAGTGCTGGGAGGCATATTACCCTTTTACTATATAGGATAGAGGCCTGGTGCACGGGTGGGGGCTGGCTGGTTTGCCCTGAAGGGTGTCCTGGATCAGGGTGGGGGTCCCCACCTGGCCAGCCTGGGTGAGGGGATGATGGCTGTTTGCAGCTGGTCACACACCCTTCAGGGTGGGGGTCCCCACTGGGGTGCCTGGCCAGTCTGGGTGAGGGGCTGAGAGCTGTTTTCAGGCTGGCGGGTGACTGAAGCTCTGAACCGCTCCTTTTTTTCTTTTTCTTTTTATTCTGGGCCAGCTTTAGCTCTGAGGCCTCGGCTGCTGAAAGCAGGTATCTGGTTTGTTTGGGTTCTATAATCGAAACACTGTTTCAACTCCAGCTCTGAGATCCCGGCTGGCTGAAAGCAGGTTTCTGGGGTTTTGTTTAGCTTCTATATTTGTAACAATGTTTCAGACTGCAAGCTCAGAGGCCAGCAAGGCAGGTGGGGAACACTGGATTACTCCGTCACTGAAGCAAGCAAGCCTCATGTTCACTTCAAGCTGCCTGGCTTCCGGCCGGCATCTTGGCTGGCAGTTAATTTGCATATCGCCCTGATTAGCCAATGGGAAGGGTAGCGGAGGTACGGCTAATTACCATGTTTCTCTTTTATTAGATAGGAGGATATTCCTGGGAAACTGAACCCCTCTGGCAGGCACTTCCCCCTGCTTTGTGATGTGCTCACACTGCCAGTTAGCGTTTGAGTGTGTACATCTTCTTTTCTACCTGTTATTATTGTGTAGGCAGGAATTTCTAGTATTCATTTTTTAACTTCCCACAGACTGTTCTGATTTTTTTCTTTTTTTATTTTATTTTTTTACTAAATTAGTCCTCCTGAGGGTTTAGTTACTAGACAAATTAGTAGGATAGGGCATTCAAGAAGAAATTTTGCTGCAATTAAATTTTAATCTTGCTTTTTTGAATTGTGAAATGTGTCCAATATATTTAAGTGCCTTTTTGTTAAGTTAAACTTACAGATTTTATTTAAACTATTTTAAGATAATGTAGAGGTAGTAGTAGGGTTTTTATTCCATGCTTATCTTAAAAGAAAAATACTACTTACCTAGTTTGCAGTTGTTACCTTGTCAAAGTGGATTTTTAATAGTTACAGCTTGAAAAAGAATGTTTTTTTATTAAGAGTCAGAAGTAAGTATTTGTCTTATGAACATTCTTGTAACGGCATCATGTCTTTGATGGCAAAAAGGGAATGATGACTTAACCCAGTTTTCTCTGTAACCTCCTTTGGAGCTTTCACTGTTTAAAGAGGATTGGTTTCACATCAGGCTTAGGCAAATCTTCTCTCACAAGTACATGTCAATTCTGCTCATAGCTCCCTTTCCTCTTCCAATTTTTACTCAGTTGAGCTTCTCAGAAGAGAACTTGGCTGTGGGGGGCAGGAGGCGGGAAAATGCAGAGATGTGTTGGTGGCATCAAAAATTGCTTGCATCAAAAAGATACAATGGAGACTTTAAAGCCACTTGGTACTACCTTCCAGAACAAGCCCTCCCGTTCACCAGATGCCTGATCTCTCACATGTGCTCTCTCTCTCTCCCTCTCTCTCTCTGTTGTACACACAACTTTCTTGTCTTAGTTCTTGTCTTAGTTTTAAGAACGATGAAGAAACCATTACTCCTTTCACTTTTACTCTTTCCTTTTCTTTTCCATAAGGAGCTGGAGATACCAGCTTCTAGATTTTTATATAAACATTTAAAAGAAAAGTATCCTGTGGAAATCAGTGTTTTCAAGACCTCAAGAGCCCCCCTAAGTGCCCAGAATTAATTTACACATTTTTTAAAAAAATTCTGGCCTTTTCTCCTTTAAGTAACAATAGTCAAAATGAATTATGAACTATCTCTTACATAAATTACTATTTTCCTCATTTGCTTTTAAAAAAAGAACTGTTTTCAGAAGGGCCGTTATGCAGTTTCTGAGGAAATTTCCAGGTACTTATATTGTTTTATTTGTCATAGGAAGGAAAATCCCCTCGGCAGTGTCTGAAGGAAGGAAACTGCAGAGCTTTGAAAAATTCATTTTTTGAATGTAAAAGATCAATGGTAAGAAAAGATTCTTAAAAACTTCGTTAAAAACTAGCTATGTAGAATTAAATATGTGAGTGACTTGTAATTAATAGGTGGTAGTGACGTTATTTGTAACTTGAGGGAGATAATGTTAGGTAGCTTCATGAAAACCCATAGCTGACTATTATTCTGCCACTACGCTAACCATAGCTGCTTACCTTTGTGAATTTCTGAAGATGAAAATGAAGTCTTGGCAAGTATAATTTAAAGTAGTAATTCACTATTAGTCCTCCAAGAAAAGACTAATGTTACACTTAACTAATGCAACTTCAGTTATACAAGTTTGGCAAAAACCTGAAACAATTTAAATTGTGCTGGTAATTTTACTTAGTATTTCAAACAGTGAGTGTAGGACTCAGACCGAAGGTTAGATGGGAAGTTTGAATTATCTTTTGCTCATAGTACAAAGCATCTCATCATCCTGATTATGATTCCCATGTTTAAAAATTATTCATTTTTTGAAAATATGGCTCAGCTTTGTGTAGTGATCAGATGAAGAAATGGCTGTCTGTCCCACATTGGTTATGTTGGACTCATTAATAGGGTCTGTCTGTAAAATAATTCCTTCCTGTAGAATTTCTAGGGAGTGATATTGACAGCCTATGCAAATTTGCCTTATATACTCTTCGCCTTCCTCCTCCCCCCTAAGAGGCTATACTGAGAGGCTTAATCCTGTCTGTCATCAAATGAGTAGGTAACTGAAGGATTTTTAATCCCCAAATGGCTATGTGTTACCATTTTTCAAGGCTCATTCTTTTTTCAGTTGCTATTTAAAGATTTCAGATACATTTGAGTATTAACCTAAACAAAACTGAAGTAGAAAATAGTTTGCTAGAACAACATATATTGAATTTAATTCAGAGAAAAAGGTCAATGTAATTTATAGTAAACTTGAGGAGAAAATCCTTATTGTGACCTTAAATGGAACTTGTTTTTAATGCCATCATTAATATTTTGGGTTCTTTGTGGGGTTTTATGGTAGTTCTAACAATTGCCTTTAAAAAAAAATTCTAGTCTTTGTTTTCTGTTTCTCCTTCATTCTACTATCTTTAGGTTTAATTTTTTCTTTTTCTAAAGCTTTAAGATAAACACTTAGCTCACTTATTTTTCAGTCTTTTTGCACATATGCATTTATATTAAACTAGAGGCCCGATGCATGAAATTTGTGCAAGAGTAGGTCTTCCTTCCCCCAGTGGCCAGCACCAGCTTCCCTCTGGCACCCGGAACCCGAGCTTCCCTTGTAGCCCAGCTTTGTCTGGAAGGTTGTCCAGAAGGACATCCAGCCTAATTAGCATGTTACACTTTTATTATTATAGATGTCCAGAATAGACAAATCTATAGCAACAGAAAGATTAATAGTTGTTAGTGCAGGTGAAGGGGGAAGAAGGATTAGGAAAGAATGGGAAGAGATTTCGGTGATGGTTGAGTATGCTAAAAACTTTTGAATTGTACATTTAAAATGAATCCGTTGTATTGTTGGCAGGAAATGGCACCAGGCGTTAGAGCAGTGGAGTTCAGCAACCTTGGTACATGAGTTCTGGCTAAGAAAGAATTCAGATGCAAGACTCAAATTATAAGAGAGTTTATTTAGAAAGTCACAGAGCTAGAAGTGAGCCATAAAAGGAATGGGCTCAGGAAAGGAGATATAGAGGCAAAAGAACTCTTGGATCATAGGAGAAAGAGAGAGGCCAGGAAAATGCCTGGCGGAAGGGAGTGGGGAAAGGCACAGGCTGCTCCATAGAAAGAGCTTTGACAGTTGTCTTCTTAATTGTGCTGAAAACGGGTTTACTTCTTTCCAGTAGTGATGCCCCTTAGCAAACTTGTATTTAATTATGTTGTACAAAATTTGATTTAATTGTACATTTATTTTCAGTTGGATGCCAGATCAAGATTCAGAGGAAGAAAAGGATATTGATAACTATTATGTTGAAACCAAGATGAATACAACAAGGATTTCCTCTGGTCATTAAAACACAGAAACCAAAGTTGGAAACATGTTTTTTCCTACACCTGTTTGGTTGGACCTGGAGCCCTGGAGAGAATGCATGATTTCTGTTTTTAATATCTATAAATAATTTTATTGTTTTGAGTTATTTTTAGAAGAAAAATGTAATTGACCAGTTATGAGCAAGGGAGCATAATAAATGCGTTTTAAAAATGGTTTTAAAACTATTTAAAACCAGTTTTCTCAGTGGTTAGAGTGTCTGCCCGCAGACCAAAGGACCATGGGTTTGACCTTGGTCAAGGGGATGTACCTGGAAGGGGCACAGGTGGGAGGCAACCACTTGATATGTGTGTGTGTGTGTCTCCCTCTCTTTCTCTCCCCCACCTCTCCCTCCCTTCTAGTCTCTGATAAGCAATGGAAAAAATATCCTCAGGTGAGGATTAACCAAAAATAAAAAAGGAATTGTTTTAAAGCACAAAGATAGTTATTTTCAAACATGATTCACCAAATGACACCCTTTGTACATCCTTTGTGAATATTCTGAAAGCCACTATTGGGACTGTTAAAATCAATAACATGGAGCCTGGGAGAAAATGTCTATTGGGAAAGTTTAGGATAAAACTGTCTTTTGTTTTTAATCTGTCTTGTTTAGTTGTTATAGTAATAAGTTTAGTTAGTATAGGTTAGCATAAGCAAACTCCATTTTGTATTAGAGTGAATTTTAACTTTACTTAGAAGTGAAACTTAACTTGTGTGTGTGTGACCCTGGTAAGTACTTTGTAGCTCCCTGCGTGTGCACTCCTGATAAGTACCTTGTAACCCCCTGCGTGCGTATCCCGGTCAGCCCAGAAGCCACCCCCGGAGCACACTGATACGAGACACCGAAGAAGCCCACCCATCTATTCATTCCATAAACCTTTTTGAGTAGCTCCTTTGCAACAGCCATTACATTTGCTGTTGTGGACACAGAGTAACATGCTGGACAAAATTAAAGGTAAGTTAGCATGATGGATAGGATATGCATGATATAATGATCATATATATTAAAACTGTATGAGGGAAAGTATTTTCCTCAAAGGGCCACTCACTGTGGAGAGGTCGCCACAGAGAAAGGCCTTGGAGAAATGAGAAGGCTGAGTGACGGCGGCCCGCATCGGAGAGCGCAGACATGCGCCCAGGCTGTGTGCATGGAGTTACGGGCAGGCTGAAGCGATGCAGATCTTAGTGGCTGCTGGGATGTGTTGGGCAAGGGAGAAGATGACCCCAGGGTGGAAGGCGGGGTCATTTATCAGGAAGGCTCAGCCTGCGTGGAGGAGGAGGATGCAGAAGTTTGGTGTTGACAGACTGTTGGAGACACCCATGTACAATAGGATGTGTTTGGATCTGGACTTAGGCTCAGGTGGACCTAGAAATTTGGGAGTCATAAGCAAATAACTGGTCATGTATTCCATAGGAATAGATAAGGCTTTTTGAGAGAAGCATTCAAGTGAGAAGAAATTTAAGGACAGAAACCTACGGAATATCGTAATGTTAGTGGTGGGTGGAGGATGACAAGCAAATCAGTGAGGAGGGAGGGATGGTAAGCGGTAGGACCACCAGGAGGGAGGCACAGAGCCAAGGGATGGCGAGTGCAGGGAGCAGGAAGCCATGGAATGCTGTTTCTACATCCATCTCGCTGCTAGAGATGTCTTGCCCTAGCCAGTTAGTGGATAGAGCGGCGGCCAGTGGACCAAAGGGTCCCAGGTTCGATTCCAATCAAGGGCACGTACCTCGGTTGCAGGCTCCTCCCTGGCCTGGGCCCTGATTGGGGCTTGTGCAGGAGGCAACCAATCGATGTGTTTCTCTCACATTGATGTTTCTCTCTGTCTTTCCCCGCTCTCTTCCACTCTTCCTAAAAATCAATGGCAAAATATCCTCAGGCGAGGATTAACCAAAAAAAAAAAAAAAAAAAAAAGTCTTCTTCACTGTGGAAGTTCTCACTGTCTCAGCTTTCTTTCTCCTTGTTACATGATACAACAGCGTGACGGCACCATGAGGTGTGTATTTGAATGCAGACCTGCCAAAAGGCCCCTGGGAGCCTGTGCAGGAAGGAATCCTGGCAAAGACAGTGCTGAGGCACAAAAGGAGTCGAGGGGAAGTTTGCAGTGTGACTATCCTGTACCTCCACGCTCGGGATTCTGTGTCACAGCTTGGGTAGTGACAGCTGTCATAATAGGCAGAGTTACTGCCCATTTGCCAAATTTTAGCAGAGGATGGGGAGGGGCGTTCTACCCACGGACAGGGACGGGTACGCCAACTCACCTTCAGTAAAGTCAGGACTTGTTTTCAAAACAAACATCAAAAAGAAAAAGGTATGTTTGACCACATTCAAGTTTAAAACTTCTCTATCCCCATATCGTAAAGCTAAAAGACAACTGACAAATTGGTTTTAAAACTTGGCAACATATGACAGATTGATATGCAGTATTGTATATTACAAACAATCCATAAAAACGACCACCACTCCAATGAAGTCACAAAGTAGAAATATAAATAAAAGTATAAATGATGTTCAGTTTTCACAATAATCAAAGACATTGAACTTGAAACAAGATGCCATTTTTAACCTCAGTAATAATAAAAGGAAAAGGCACATGCTACAGGTGGGAAGCCTAACTTTCTGGGAATAATACAGGCAAACCTCATTTTACTGGGCTTCGCAGATACTGTGTTTTTACAAATTGAAGGCAAGACCTTCGACCAGCAAAAAGATTATGACTTGCTGAAGGCCCAAATGATGGTCAGCATTTTTAAATAATAAAGTAGTTTAAAAAAAATAATAATAAAGTAATTTTTAATTAAGGTAAATACATTGGTTTTTTTAGACAATGCTATTGCACACTTAATGGATTATAGTAGAGTATGCACATTTATATACAGTGGTAAACCATAACATTAGTGTGACATGCTTGTGATAGTCACTTTATTGTGGTGGTCTGGGACCCAAACTGCCATATCTCCAAGGTATGCCTGTATGAAAAATTCAAAAATTTAAAAACATTTACACTGTCCTTTAATTGTACATTTCTACTGTCAGGAATTTATCCAAGGGAAGTCACTGGGGACATGTGTCTAAAAAAAAGGCACAAGATGTAATCTGGTTATAAGGAACAATCAAACCATTAATGAAACATCTTAGCAAGTGATGCAGCAGATCACCAGGCACCCAGAGAAGATGTGACCCACATCAATGGATGTGGCCAGGAACATCTAACATGTACTCAGCCACGGCGCCTCACAACTGCCTTGTGAAGAACGGACTGTCGTGTCCATACGTCCCACACGAGGAAGCAGAGCCTCAGGGCAGGCAACTTGCTCAGTCACCAGCCAAGGAGTGACAACAGGATTGGTACCTGGGGCTGTGTGAAGTGGACGTCCATGCTCTTAGTCCCACCCTCCTATACCCCTTCACTTCCAATTGAGTGAAAATGGTCATAAAACAATTCTCTCATGGGCCCGTTTACAAACACCGAAGCACACAATGCAATGCCCATTAATAATCGTCCAGTCAGATGCCGGCCAGAGAACCTGTCCTAATGCAACAGAATGAGCCAGGCAAGACCAAGTTTAATGTTCTCGTCAGTTATTTATTATCCTTCTAAAGACTAGCACATTTATAGCATACATGGCTTTGAATGAGCTAAGAATATATAAAACAGTACATGTTCATATATAGTAATACTGGCCAAAACAAATAAATAAAGGTACTTCAGTGCACGAAGCTTGGCAAATACAACTGCAGGGACAAAACTACTGCACGGTACTTGTGTGTTTCAGAGGGAACCAAAGGCAGCTGCTGAGGTGCTCTGACACCCACAGCGCCAGGTCTTCAGGCCTCCGTGCTTGTTCAGTGGCCGAGAAGCACACTGGGCGGGACCTCTACTTTGTGGTGCCCGGAAGACCGCCTTCCTGTGCACCTGGGAACTCCAAGCTCCTTCACGTCCCAGGCACTGCCAGCACCACGACCACTGGCCTTGCTCGGCGGGCGAGCGTGGTAAGGGCGCGGCGGGTGCCCTGGGAGGCTGGCCGCATGGGAGCCGCAGGGCTCAGATGGGATTCTGGAGCCTGAGCGTTTCCTACCTGATTAGCCAAGTCTTAGAGTTTTATGATGTGCATAATATGAAGCCAAAATTGGAAAATAATTCACAAAAAAGGTGCCCCATGCAAAACTGCTAACAGTTGACTCAACATCTGCTATATTCCCTTTTGATAAATGCAGGTATTTAATGCTCTTCAAACAATAACAACAAAAACATGGGTGGCACTTAAGAAGACAAGGGAATATTTTAAAAGGTAGTGATGATAAAATAAAAAAAGATGAAAATATAAAAGATACTAGAAAAATTACAAAATGGGTGAAGCGGTGAGAGGTGAAAGGCTGAGTCAGCCATATTGGAAACTGAACAGGGATGGGCCCAGAGAACCTGCTCCGTCCCACCTCTGCAGGGGGCGTGGTGGACGCGGGTTTCTCTGACAGCGACAGGAGCTGCAGCCGTCCCTCATGGACGTGTCCTCCACACCAGGCCCCATGCAACCCGTGGGAATGTCCCCTCCGTGGGCCTCAGGAGACAGCAAGCGCTGCCTGCACACTGGCTTCCGCGTGGGCAGGGATCTGGAAGGCCATCGAGTGGCACCCTCCCTGCTGTTCACCCCTGTGTCCTGCCGTGGGCAGTCTTGCCTGTGCCTCAGCTCCCCAGGCCCAAGTTTGTTACATGTTTCCAAGTGGCATTTCTAAAGGAGCCTGAAGAATAGTTCCCAGAATCTTAGACACAGGGATTTCCTAAGGATGCACCAATCATTAGGATCAACATCTTCAATGTGCCACATATATTTCTTTTACAGCCTTTTAAATAACATATGAACATAATCATCACAATAAACAATTGATAAAACATATAAACTGAGGAAAAAACTCTGCTATGTGCAGATAAGACTCATCATCTTATAATAGATGACCAGACATCATTTTCTATGAAATCCCTGTTTTATGGCCCATTGATCCCTTTCAACATCTCATTTTCAGAGCTAATTTCAACTTTCTCAATAGTCACGTTACATAACAGAATGAGAAGATAGTAACAATTATTGCAAACTTAAAAGACACTTTCATCAGACCTTCAAACATGATTGTATTGATTTTTAGAAGACAATTGGGAAACCCACAAAAGGAAGTCTGTTCTGGAAAGATTTAGGCTTCGACTGTCTACACATAAATCCCCACTGCCGAGAGGTCCTGGGGCGCCCGGGAAGGGGGCCTGCACCCGGGCAGGGTGGGGCCAGGGTGCAGGTTGAGAGGACAGGCAGGCAGCAGGCTTCCTGTTCCCCAGCACACACCGTTCCAGAACTCAAAGGAACAGAGTGGCCCCCACTGTGTGAGCGGCTCTGCAGGGGTTACCTTCCCATAAAGTCTGTCTGGGCGGTTTCTCAGCCTGCGGCCATGGCCCGCCTGTGCCCTCACAGGATAATTCAGTAGAACCACCTGCTTTCACTGCCTGAGCCAGAGCTAGCCTCTCCCCAACACCTGAATTAACATGAAACACTTATTGGTCTGCCAGGATCCAACTGTTTACTATTTACTGTTTTACATTCAGGTTTTTTAAAAGTAGATTGTAATTCGATGCTCAGTTTTGAGTTACTTAGTAGAAAAATAAGTGAGCAGCTGCCTAAGTGGACATTTAAAAAGTCTTAGCATCTCAGACCTACAGGTGACTATCATGACATCTATCTGGGAGGTTCTGGCTGCAGGCGGTTTAAATGGGCAGTTGTTACTATCCACACTATTGAGCCAACGTTACCTCCTACTAATTCCAACCGAATAAAAAACATGCTTCATAGACTCCTTAGTGAAATATTTTTTAAAAAACACAAAAGTAAAAACCAGTCCTTCAGGTCTTGGTGAAGAACTCGTGTGTGACACTAGAGGGTCCCCACATTTGTTATATGACAGCTAGAGAGGACACCGTGTGTTCAAGTTTCAACCTTGCCGTAAGTCCCTTCAGGAGGCCTGTAATGCTTGGGGAAAGCCTTCAGCTGCAGGGAATTAAATGCATATTTGCGACTTCCAACATTCTTCATTGTATTTTCTCTTCGACAACCCTCACTGGGGAAAAAAACAAGCACAAGAAATGACAGCAGTAAAAAAGGAAAAAAAGAAAAGACTTAAACTAAGATGAAATGAACTGATTATTTTTATAGCATTAAAAAAAAGGTTAATTTAAATGGGTGCCAGACTATTTGCAACAATACACACGTAAGATGGTTTCTGAACAAGGCAGTTAAGAAGCACAGCGATGGGCGCGTGTGTGGGGCTGAGTTTTGCATTTGCGAAAGCAGCACTGTAAGTGGAAGCAAACGTCTTTTAAAGTTAATGGTTTCATGTGTTTCACGTCTAGGTATTTCATGGTTCTGTGGTGGGACAAAGATTCTGTTACATAACAAATTAAATGTAAAAGAAGTAGTGGGACTCTTACCAAAGCCTTTAAAAAGTTGCATCTTTCTATGTTAGCAAAGCCACGTGACTGAGAAGGCTGTTCTACCGGCTGTCCCCCAAGTGCAAAGCCTTCAGTCCAGTGGGCCCAGGTGACGGCTGCCTGGAGGGTCTGAATGGCTATCAGGGCTGGAGTGTCGTGAAGGAGGGACCCCACCACGTTTCCTGGTGGTAGCCGGCCACCTTCTCCAGGTGGGCATCCCTCAGGGTGGCCACCTTTCAGAAGAGCCAGTGAGAGCCCACAGGTGCCCTTTCATAGAGAAATGGTGCTGCATTTGGTGGGGGGTTGTCATGGTAACCCAGTGTGCAAAGCAAATGCAGAGCAAGAGGATGAGGTGCGCAGGCAGGCCTCATGGTCCTGAAGGACAGCATCGGGGGAGTTCTCTGGAAAGTGTGTATCAAATTCACAGGTAAAAGCAATTCTGAATATAAATGACTTTCTATTGCATGGTCTAACTACTTTTATATTTTCTAAGACTAGCAATTAAATCCACTAGTTATCAAATTTAGTACAAAATTCCCTCCTATGAGATGTAAAATTTGCAGTTACCAAGAAACAGTGATTTAAAAAAAATATTTCCAATCGTATCAACACCATTATATCATGCATTTTAAAAAAGATGTTATTGGAAAGTGCTTGAGCCTTTTAAAGTGAAAATGACATTCTCATTTTCAAGAACATGTGAAATATTTTGGGTGAGACTGTAATTTTATGCAGAAGCCTGGGTATTTCAGAAAAGTAGTCCCCTGCTTGTGATTAAGTAACTTAGTAACTCAAACATGCTGCCCTGGCCCCAGAGCCTTTAGGCTTCAGTGAGGTGTCACGGGCGTCCCAGGAGGCCCTAGAGGAAACGATGGCCGTGTTTGTCTACGTCCAATGATCAGGTAAGATTTAATTCCATTTCAACAGAAGCTTCAAGTTCTATGCCCACATCACGTAGTCTCCATCCTTAGCGCTGCTGTGGAGGCAGGAGAGGCTCCCTCCACCTCTGAGCTCGCCAGCCCTGAGCCCGGCTTCTGGCTGAATGGCGCTCCCACTGTGGGAGTGCACTGACCACCAAGGGGCAGCTCCTGCGTTGAGTGTCTGCCCCCTGGTGGTCAGTGCACATCATAGCGACCGGTCATTCCTCCGTTCAGTCTATTTGCATATTAGCCTTTTATTATACAGGATATGCATACTTCTCAGAAGCCATCCATCAGAATCAATGCCAAATTGCTTTGAAGGGGCAAAGAATAATTTGGGAACTTTGACATTATCTTTTATTTATATGTTAAAGAAGCTAATTACTGGCTTAACTGGCTGAATGGATTATAGCATAAACTTTTGGAGAACATCCATTTTAAATGAAAAATCAGAATGGAACCGAGACACAGCTCTGGTCTCCCCTCCTGTGGGCTCTGCCTCTCAGAACGCAGCGGATGCCTCAGTGTCTCAGGGACCTGACACGGCCAGTGGCCAGGCCTCAGCGCTCGCCTCACCTTAGAGCAGCCTGGAAACCAGCACCAAGCCCAGCGATGCCCCGTTCCTGACCCACCTTCCCCTTTGTTTCATCCTGCCTACTTCTCACTAAAGCAGGAGAGATCTGGACAGATTTTAGCCTGATTTCATGAGTAAAAGGCCTTCGTGAGATTAAAACTCAGCATGAAGGGTGGGCACACCGAGTCTCTTTTCTCAGCTGTTCTCCCAAAAACCAACAAGCCACAGCCTAGGCCAGGGGTGGGCAAACTTTTTGACTCGAGGGCCACAATGGGTTCTTAAACTGGACAGGAGGGCCAGAACAAAAGCATGGATAGAGTGTTTGTGTGAACTAATATAAATTCAAAGTAAACATCATTACATAAAAGGGTACAGTCTTTTTTTTTTTTTAGTTTTATTCATTTCAAATGGGCCGGATCCGGCCCACGAGCCGTAGTTTGCCCACAGCTGGCCTAGGCTGATGGTGTCCTCTCTCATGCTGGCCCTCTCCCCCTACCATCCCCATCCTCCACCTAATACCCAACCCACTGCAGCAGGAAGCAGCCCAGAGCACCCCCTGCCTCCAGGCTTCTGCTGCTGGCATGGCCCCCCTGCCGTGCGGTGGGCCCCAGGGAGTCAATGGAGCCAGACGGATCAAGGAGGCCCAGGGAAGAGGAGGGCGGGCTGTCTATAGTCAGAGGTGAGCGCCAGGGCGCGTCACCCCAGGGGCATGGGGATCTCTCCCCAGAGCCCTGCCTGGGGGGTTGTGTGTGGGCTCTACTTTCCCGCCTCCACATAACGTGAACAAGAGTCATGTACACCACAAGCAGGAGAGCAAGTGGGCAAGGTCCTTCTCAAAGACTCAGACCCTGGGGACCAGGGTCACGTGCCCAGCCACTCCCTGGGCACTTGGAGACCCTCTGAGGGATGCAGGAACTGTGCCACAGCACGGCCACCCATTTGTTCCAAAAAAGGCAGTGTAACCTCTGCCCTCGCCCACAGTGCTCCAGGCCTGGGAAAGGGTGCGCAGGCCTATGAGGAGAACGTCTCCCCCGGTTCGTGAATCAAAGTTTCCATCTGCATTCGTTACTCGCTGTTAACTGCTTCTGCGACTCCTAGGACCCAGATGCAGGTCTGATGCCAAAACAGAGAAACCCCAGGATAAGTTCTGGAAGTCTGGGAGGTGGACTGGAGAGGCCAGATTCTGTGGGGACTGGGTTTGTGTGCATGTGTGAGTGCCAAGTTTCTGGAAAAGCCAGCTTCTCTAAATTCACTCGTTTTTCTAGAATGGTAAAAAAACCAAAAAACATTTTCATAAAAGACAGTGTGTGGAGCCAGCTAGAGGTTAAGACCAGATCACAACACCATCTGAGCTGGAAGACAGAGCCGCTGGGCGTTCCGCCTGCAGGGCCCATGCGACGCTCCCCAGTTCCTTCTGTCACCATCACGGTGAACAGCTCCTTTTGCCAAACGCGGGTGTTAAGTCACCCCAGCTATGGATAGGACCTTCTTAAAATTAGGAGCGATAATAGCAGAGACCAAAGTAACTCCTCTCGCTCACAGCTCCATCTGGCACAACTGCCCAACAGGCAAGCCTCATTTTTAGGTCATTTTTCTTTGACATTTGGTTTTTTCATTATTAACTACATTTGATTTCTGGAGAGAAAAGATGTCTGGACTTTAATCCAAATTCAAAGCTCTTTAAAATGAAGAATGCTACTTCAAGAAAAATAAACACGTATAACTTTAACAGCCTTTCATTACTCTATGCATTAATTCCCGTAGTCGCTTTAACGGTCCTTAAGGATGTAGAAGAGTACCTCGAAAGCCACATGCGATGTTATTTTATGTGCCTCACTTGGTACAATGTGCTACTGTGTTCACAGCTTCTGTCATCTCACACTGGAAGTAATAAACATGAGCAAGGAAATGTGATGATTCTGCACACCGTTTGCTACTGTAACTTAAGGGACTACGCTTTGAAATGAAAGCAGGAAGGCCAGGTCCTATCAAAGAGGCTCACACAGCGGAGCCAGTTACAAAGCATCTGCCGTCCTCATTCCTCTTCAAAAGGAAAGGGAAGGTCAGCGCACATTCAAGGAATAGTATCAAATATACAAACTCTTTTCAGACAGAATTCCTTTCTCTTGGAAACAGGGCATGTGAGAGATACAGGTAACAAATAGCTTTACATCAGAAAGTAAGAGATTAGGTACAAGTGATTCCAGGCCAGCTACACAATGCAGTCACAGGGCACTGTGAGAACATGTTACAAGCGCTGAAAACTATAGAATGTGAACAAACAAGTCCTCTTGGTGAAATATTCGGCAGGTATTTACAGTTCAAAACAACAAAGTGCAAACGGTAAGGCATGAAATCTCTCTGGGCAGACCCACTCTGACACATCCCTCTGTCCAGGTAGGTGCCCGGTGGTGGGACATACTCTGGCACTTGTGTTTTCTTGTGACTAATTTTTCATAATGTCATTCATTTGCAACGCAATTTGGCCACCAGGTACGCTATGCTCAGAAACAGCCACACAATCAGTAAATTGGGGCTCAGCGCTAACAGCGGGATGGAACAGAGGAGGCTGGGGTCTAGTCTTAAGTCTCGGATGGGCACCAGGCCGCTCAAGTTCTTCTGGGTGACTACCTCTCGTGTTCCAATGCTGTGAAAAGGAAAAGGTTTGGGAGAAAGGAAAAGGAAAAGGAAAAAGAAATAAGGAAATAAAGAGAGACACATGCAATGGATTTTATCAAAATTATGGGGAAAAGAGGAGAACCAAAAGATAAAATTTTTAAAAAAAGGGATGAAACCACAACAGAAAAGGGTGTGACAGGAATACCAAAACAAAACCAGCAGTTACGAGAAAAAGGAGAGAAAGAGAAGTGGAAATAAGAAAAAGTACTGTAGTCCACCGAACACACACACGCAGGCGGGCGGAATGGTTTTCCATGTTCACGCTCTCAGCTGCCCACGCAATGCGGCCTGCATGCGCTCACATGCTGCGAAGACACGGGCCCCAAACAGCAAGCTGAGCAGGAAGAGCCCCGGGGTGCCTTCCCACAGGTGCCCGAGCGCGGGGCAGCTGAGCCCGCCCACACTGCCTCTTGATGAGCGGATCAAACAAGACCACTCACCCCAACTGGCAACGCAGGCGGCGCCCCCGCCCGTCAGGCTGAGCGGTGGCAGGCAAGAACTACTAGTGGCTCCAGCTTTTCAAGTTACTGTCCCCACGAATGGCATCCAAACCCGCTTCCCTGGAAATTTGGGTTCCCCGCTTTGGGTGCTCCCGGAGAAATGCCTGAGGTGAGAGGCAGCCAGAACCACAGGACTCTGGGACCATGTGCCCTATACATGGCCACCAAGGGGGCAAGAGTGACAGAGCCCACGGGCTGGGACACAGTGGCGGCCGCTGAGGACCCATGGGAGAGGAACGGACCAGACGTCCTGGGCTTGCCCAGAGGAAGCGGAAGCCTGGCTGGCCCTGCTGGGATGTGCCGCTCTGACAGGGACACTTTTGGGGCTGCGGGCACTCGAGGATGGTCCCCTAGCCTGGGCAGTCGGGGCATCTCTGTGGCTACGTAGGAAGGCCCACTCTGAGGGCTGCAGCGGCACTGGAGGCAGAGGGACCACCAGCAATGTACACATCTCTCCCCACCACCTGGCCCAAGGCGTCCCCCGATAGCTTGAGTATTTATGCCCCCCAATTGGGCAAATTTTGAGAGAGCTGGCTGTTCACATTTGTAGCATGGCACTGCCACTGCCCACCCTGGGCCTCCAGGAGGAGGTGCCCACCCACTCCCCACCGCCCACGCCTGGCCTGCACGCTGTCCTCTCCCACCTGGTCCAATACAAGGGAGAAAGCAGGAGACCCGAAACCCACTCCTTCACTCGGGAGCATGGCCACTGCTGCCTGCTGCCTGCGCAGGGCTCTCAGCTGAGCCCAGGCCTGGCCACCACGGTAGCCAGAAATAGTGGCTGAGGACTCAGTCCCCTTGGGCTGGTAGTGTGCGCACACATCTTCCCACCAGATCAAGCAGACACGGAAGCCTCCTTAAAGCAAATGCGTGTGGCCAGAGCCCAAGGTGCCACCAGGTCAGGGGGACAGGCAGCAGGTGCTGGTGCTGAGGATTCTGGGGTGAGCGGAGGCAAAACAGGATGGAATTTTGTTTTTACTAACTTCTTAAATGATTATTATGGTAATATATATGTTCACTGTAGAGATGTCAGAAAACTCAGGGAAACATAAACAAGAAACTTTAAGAAGACAAACATCATTGGAGGTGGGTGGGGTCTGAGAGAGGCAGGGAGGCCAGGGAATGGTGCCTGTCCCTCAGGAGGCCTTCCCTGCTCAGGACCTGGGGTCCTCACTGCAAAGAAAGAAAACAGGCCAACAGCAGTCGGGAGCGCCCTGAAGGGTGGCAGGAGTGGTAACACCCCCAGGGAGGGAGTCCCGCTGGTGTAGCAAGTCTGTCAATTTGGCTTAAAGCCTTTCTAACCTAAGAAATCAACAGGAAAAATGTGGCTGGGAACACACAGAAGTATACTCACACATAATTTAAAGTGCTCAAACGGCCCTAGCAGTGTGGTTAGTCACATGCGTACTGAGGGGTTGTGGGTTTGATTTCTGGTCAAGGGCACATACCTGGGCTGCAGGTTAGATTCCTGGTCCTGGTTGGGGGTGTGGGGGGGGGGGTGTGGGAGGCAACCAGCAATGTGTCTCTCACATCAATGTTTCTCTCCCCGCCCCCTTTTACTCTCTAAAAATTAATGGAAAAAATACTCTTAGATGAAGATTAATAAAAAATAAGTAAAATAAAGTGCTCAAAACCATACACAGCTTAAATAGTCCATGACCTCATCAATTGGGTAAGTTATTATATGCTAAAAATGATAAGGTCTATATTTATTTACCTGAAAAATGCTCACAAGGTAGTTAAATGAAAAAAGCAGGCTAAGCCCAACTGGCATGGCTCAGTGGTTGAGTGTCCACCTATGAACCAGTAGGTCATGGTTCAATTCCCAGTCAGGGCACATGCCTGGGTTGTCGTCTCGAGCTCCAGTGTGGGGCGTGCAGGAGGCAGCTGATCAATGATTCTCTCTCATCATTGATGTTTCTGTCTCTCTCTCCCTCTCCTTCCTCTCTGAAATCAATAAAAATATTTTTAAAAAATAATAAACAGCAGGCTAAAACAAAAGGTAGAATTGCACATATAATTGTATTTGTGTGTTTTGTTTTCTGTATTATTCAGGGGCTGGTTAACCAATGTGTGAATTAACTACACTCACACCTGTATGTATGCATGCATGTAGGTAGGTAGGTAGGTATGAAAGAATATGTACCAAATGTTAGCACTGTTACTTGTTAGTAGTAGGAATATGGAAATTTTTTTGGTGTGTGAACAACCCCTACTCTAACTTTCCTATAAGGAATATTGACTAATCACGTGACAGGAAGTAAACAGTGCTTCGTGTGTTGTGAACTGTAACACTAGCTGTGCACCTGCAGGCCGCCGGCGGGCCAGTCCCTGTCTCTCAGGAGGCCACTCTCCCCCTGGCCTCCAGAGGCCTCTGTGCTCAGATGCAGCCAGAAGGAGTTCTTGTTTCACTGGCTAACACCAGGCAGAGGTCTGCGTAGCGACTGCTCACCGGGCTCAGGCTGGCCTACCAAACGGTGTGTGCTCTGTGCCGCGGAGTCGGCTCCGACTGCCGGCGACCCCAGGGTGAGTGACGTCCTGAGCGTCCTGTGTCAGCGCCCTGCTCAGCACCTGCAGGGTCAGCCCACGGCTCCTTATGGAGCCGATCCTTCCCTTACTGGGCCTCCTCCTCCTGCTGCCTTCTGCTTCCTGGCATTACTGCTTTTCCAAGGAAGCCCGCCTCTCATGATGTGTCGGTTTAGTTGTTCTGCCTGCAGTGATGTTTCAGGCTTCACTTGCTCCTTAATGGACCTACTCCTAATATTCGCCCCGACAACCACAGGCACCCCCTCCACTGCTCCTGTTCCTTTGCTGGCTGAGGTCTGCATGTCAGCAGACTGGCCTCCCACCAGCTCTCAGGTGCCAGGACACAGATGTGGCTGGAAGCACCAGGACCCTGGGCCTGAGGCCTGAGCTGGTCAGGGACGGGCAGAGCCTCCAGCTTCCCGAGGCTCAGGGCAGGGAGGTGTGTTCTGAGATGGCAGAGGGGTGCAGAGGAGATTGGAAAGCAGAACAGGAACAGAACACTTTCACTTTTACAAGGTGCTGTGATCAAGAGGCAGGGCTCAGGCATGGCACTTGTGCATCGCTGTGAGAAGGTCAGAGGGCAGAAACATACAGAAAGGATAAGAGAATTGAACACTTTAAGGGACTTGGAGAGAGGACAGATGGCACAGACATTCGGTGGGAGTGACGGCTGGAAACGAGGCTGACAGCATTGGGGACCTCAGCGAAGGAGACGGACCAGGTTTCTTATCCTTTCTTTGGTATGTGCGGTGCGCTCCCCGGCATCGGTTGGCAGCAGGCAGCCTGTAGTGCCGGTTTCACCCTGCAAACACCCTGCTGCCTCGGAATCAGAGCACCGTTAGGGCGAGGTCGCCACGGCCCGGGCAGGCAGGGGCTGCCATTATCACAGAGCACTCATCTGACACTTTGCTCAAAAAAGCAAACTGTGTCGACTGCCAGAGAAGCGGAGCAGACCAGTGCCACCTGCAGACAGCTCTTGTTGCTCACGTGAGCAAGGAGACATCCGATGCTGTGGCAGCAGGTGCATGCTGAGCACTCTGCTCTAACTCACACCCGCAGCAAGCAGGTGCTGGGATGCCATGGGCCAGAGGCCTTCCCTGGCTCCCCCTGACCCGAGATGCGTCTCCCTGTGTCAGTGCAGTCCTGCTCTAGGCTGCTAGCTCGTTACATTCCCTTGGCTGAAAGGAGAGCACTGTCTCCATTTGAGAGCGCCAGTAGTTTGACTTCGTAGACGCTAGTGTATTTTCCAAAGTCAAACCAGAGCATGACGCTGGAGCGAGGGGGCTGTGCCGGGGAGCGGGGGCGGCAGCGGGCGCGGCAGGCACGCACTCACCTGCGCATGCACTCCAGGGCCTGGGTGAAGACCTGCGGGGCCATGCCGTGCTCGTGCTGCAGGATCAGGCACTGCTCCAGCGTCACCGACATGGCTGTGCGGTCCTTGGCGCTCTTGCAGCTGGTGAACCGGACCCCGTTAAGACGGCGGCAGATCTGCCCACAGGAAAACAAGCCACGCTTAGAGGGCGACTCTGCAGAACTAGAGGCCCCACATGGGACAGAGGCTCCAAGGCCCCAGCGAGGATGTGGCCACAGCTCCACCCCAGGCCCAGCCACTCCCTCTGCACCTGCTCCCCGTGATGGAGAAAGGCATTGCCATGGCACCTCCGCCCTCCGGCTGCCTGGGGTACCTGCTCCCACAGGAGGCGCCTTCCCAGCCAGGCCCACTCTCTTTCGGAGGTGACCCTCTGTCCGTGCCCTTCCAGCTAGTCTCTTCCAACTCCGACACCACCATCCCTCACCCTTGGGTACGGGCCCTCAGAGGACGCGGGAGGAGCAGCAAGGACCAGCTCCAGGAGGTCAGAGCAGCCAGAGGATGTCCAGCCCATCAGGGCCTTAGGCCTCTCTGGCTTCCTCTCCTCTCCTCTCCTCTCCCACACAGATGGGGGCCTGTTCAGAACACTGCCCGAGAGCCACCTGCTGACCACAGGCCCCAGGCCTTTCCCATCCTCCCCTCGCTCGGGGCCTGGTGCAGGACGAGGCCTATGTGCCTCCTCACGCGTGAGGGGCTCCCAGGTGGGCCCCTCCGGGCTAGGAAAGGAACACTCAGGGCGTCCCTCGCCCCCTGGAAGGACGTATTGGGTCACTTCCTCTGCATCACTAGGTACCATCCTCAGGACACAGTCCCCAAATCCAGAAAGCCTTAAAACAGAAGGGTAAGTCTGTGGCAACCTCATTTGGCAGCACACTCAGATCTGAGCTCGTGTAAGCCCACTGACCATCTTTATTTATGCCACTTTGTATAAATAGTCATACTTTTTAGTGAAGCAACATTAATCACGTACGTGCACCATGTGACACGTGTATGCACCAACTGTATGCCATGTCACTTCTAAGATAAGGGCACCTGGGAATTCCAGACCACCTGGCCACAGACTCCAGGCAAGGGTCCGTGACCGGGACCAGATACCGCACGTGAGAACAACAGTGGCATTGAAAGCGAAATCCTCCACACTGGACGATGCTGGGCTTGTGACCGGCTGACTCCAGAAAGATCCCAGACCCCCTGCAGGGCTTCCCTGAGGGTGGCCCCAGACGGCTTCCCAGACCAGTAGAGCCCGAGCCACGGCCGCCCCTGGGAGGCACCGGCAGAGAGCACAGTGTGGTCTGATCACTGTGTCCAAGAAAAGACAGCATGGAAAAGGTCAAACCATCAGCAAGAGGCAGGCTTCTTCTGAAAACAGACAGAACTTTTCAAAAGAAAGAAGACGGCCCTAAGTAGCCCCTGAGCCTGGTGAAGAAAGATTTCATTCGGATTTGTAAACGTGTAACTGACAAACCAGGGTAACGGTAGACACGCTCATTTAATTCACAAGCTGCAGAGTTCACGACCCAGACACGGCACAGCTGGAGTCCAGGGCTAACCGACGGAGTCCAGGGCTAATCTGGCGTCCGCAGGAATGTGGGGCCAATGTGCACCTCTGTCCAGGAGGGCACAGTCTGAGTGCCAGGCTCGTCTCAGGGCCATCAGCCACCTAAGGCTCTGGCTGGCCCTGCCACCCGGAAGTGAGGGATTGGACCCGGCTGATGATATCCCCGAAGGCTGGCCAGGGAACCCCTGCTCACACACAAATGAAAATAAATAAGATCTATTCTAAGCCCTGGCCAGGTAGCTCAGCGCGTTAGAGCATTGTCCTGATTGCAGGTTTGATTCCTAGTCAGGGCACATACAAGAGTCAACCAATGAATGCATAAATAAGTTGAACAGTAAATCAATGTTTCTTTCTCTCTCAAAAATCAATCAATCAATAAAATATTAAAAAATAAAAAAGTGAAAGCTTTAAAAAAAAAAAAAACAAACCACAAGACTCAGAAAAGGAGGCAGCTCTGGTCCTAGTGAAGAAGGGCCCAGGACTCGACACTGCTGCCCCCACCCGTCTGTCCCCCATGGGATGCCAGGTGGACGAGAACTGACGCCCGAGGGTCCCTCAGGCCCTCCCACTAGGAGCCCTGCTTCTGGGCCAGGACCTCTGATGGGAACAGAAGATATGGGCTGGGTGGCCTGCGTTTTGGACCTGGCACAGGGATGGTTGAGCACTGCTCTGGGCGGTAGTTCTTCTATTACGTAGCAAGAGAAAAAGAGTCACAGTTCCCACACAAGGTGGGGCAGCTCTCTGTACCCACCCTGTCTGCAAAGCTGTGGGGCACCCCCAACTGCTCCTGGGGCTCTCCACCAGGGCAGTGGCCCAGCTCACAGCCAGGCAGGGAGCTGTGGTGCCTCTGGGGGCACCTGTGAGTCCCAGTGACCACCAGGCCCCAGTGCTGCGCGGGGAGTGCGACGGGATGAACGGCTGGACTGCAAGCACCAGGTGCACAGGACACCCCGAGGGCATGTCTGAAGGGCTCAGTGCTTGGGAAAGAGGAGATCTGAGCTACACATGCGACAAGCTGTGTGTGGAGACCGGGAAGGTCACCACGGTCTCCTCTGGGCCTACTGGGGGACACAGAGGCAGCGGGTTCAGCTGGTATTGGCTGCGCAGGCTTCTGAGGGTGAGGACTCACGTCAGCCTGGCCATCACCTGCCCGGGGACAGGTTCTGGATCAAGCTTATCAGAATCCAGGCAGCCGGAAAGGAATGACCTCTCAGGCAACTCCCAGGATCTGCGAGTTTGGGGACACCGCAGTGTCTTTCTCCCGTGTCCTAGGGGAACCCCACGCGCTCCGCTCCTGCCCGCTGGGTGTGCTGCCCCTGTGGCGGTTACCACGGCAGCAGGAGCAGCGCGACACCCTCCTCTCTGTGGGGCGCACCTCAGCAGCTTGCCAGAGGATGTCCACGTTCTTGTTCTTCCTGGCATGGACGTTCTGGCCCAGGAACCGCAGCAGCTCCGGCAGGCACGTCTGGCTCCGAGAGCGAGGCAAGCCTAGAAGGAGGAGGCGTTGGGAGCTGGTGTCACACCTGAGCACAGCCCAGGGAGCCGTGAGGCTCAGAAATGGCAAAATGAAGTTTCTGGCTGAAGCTGGAAGCTGAGTGTGACTTAAGCAAGAACACAGGGTGTATGGGGGCCTGGACCCGGCTACCTGTGGGGAGAACGCAATGCCTTTCACTGCCATTCAGTTCACCTGCAAGGCACTTGCTCGCTTCAGCCCCTTTCAGCTCCCCCAGGGCCCAAGGCAGACACAGAGCCACCAGGGCAGGAGGGGAGGGAGGGCAGAGGCGACCCACCCAGTCTGCACACCCTCCCCCAGGGAGGGAGGACACTGGGCAGTGGCCTCAACCACTGAGAGGGCTTGGCTATCACTGGGGATGTGGGGCGGGCACCTCCAGCAGGTGGACCTGGAGTGGCCCAGGCAGGGTCACCCCCTCCAGCAGCTCCCTCTGCCACCATGACATCTCCAGGTGCTTCCGGGACCCCTCAGACCAAGGACCAGTCAGACTGCCACCTCCCCTGATAAACTTGGGATGTTCACACATGGGGATCATCAGAGAAAAAGAGGACTCTCTAGGCCATGGGTAAGGAGAACAGCACGGTGCCTAAGTCCCCAAATCAAAACCAAATACGTGCAATTCTGGGGCCTAGCAGCACATATAGTGTCCAGCACAAGACCTCAACCTGGTGGACACGGGACCCTCTGCTAATTACCCCACACTCCTGATCTGTGCTCAGCGCTGGCCGGTCAGAGGCCCCACCCAGGGAGGCTCATGCCCACGTGGTTTTGCTCCTGTAGCCGCGCCCGCCTTGGCCTCATCACCGGGCCACCTTAACATCTCCTGGGGCCTTGCATCACTGGAAACTGGCCGCCCCCAAAATGTCCAGCACAGAACTCCCCCTTCCTGCCCACAGTGCTTGCAAGTGACTAAGAGGGGTGGCAGAGCCCTGTGTGACGCGGGTGGGGGTGGGGAGAGGTCAGAAAGGGGCACCTGAGGCCTGGGCAGTCCTCTGGGTGGGCGGGCAGCCTGAGCGGTGGAAGGGCTGCCGCAGGGGCAGGGAGCAGGCGGGCAGCACAGAAAGGCCAGGAAGCACACCCAAGGTGACACAAGATGATCGGTGGGACCTACCACACGTGAGGAAATACTTACAATCCTCAGGCAACACTTCCTTAAATTGCTCGAAGTAGGAATTTAGCCGCACCAAACTCTCCATGTTGATAACTTCTTGTAACGACGTGTCGCCAAACCTTCAGGGGTCACAGGGAGGCTGTTAGCAGCTGATGCCGCCCTCCTCCCGCAGCGCCTGATCGCGTTCAAGCTAACACAACGCAAACACTTACTGAGCACACCCCATTCTGAGCACCTTGGCTCCCAGGCTAAGGCTGTCCCAGCTGCCTTGGTGACAAGTCTAAACACATTTCATCAGCAGGAGCCATGCACCACTGGTTACAGGCGTGTCCCAGAGGCTATGAGAACTCCAGGTGTAGAGCCCTCCCCCGGCGGCACACCCGAAACCTCACAGTGCTGGCCCGCGGGAGTCCCGCCCTCCCATCCCTCATGGACTCAGGAGAGGGGACAGCAGGAGGGCGATGGCTGGGGAGTGAGGACGGGCCCCGCACTTGGTGTGAGGTGCGCTCTGTCTCCGAATGACCTCGCTCAATTGGACTGTGTGGAGACTAGCTCTCCTTACCATGAGGCTCACCCTGTCCACTTTGCAGGTAGCCAAGACGTGCCAGAGGCTCAAGGGCAAGGCAGAAAAGACCAGCACAGGAAGGTGCAAAGCGGTCACAGAGACACGCAGGCTGCGACTCCAAGGCCCGGACCAGGCCCGCTCCACCTTTCCCTGCAGAGGGGTCTCCTGCACAGTAGCCTCTTCATGGTCCAGGTTCTTGCTCAGAGGCAGGACCCTCCTGTGGGCCCACCACAGCCTGTCTACCTGAGGACCACACTGGCTTTCCCTCTGTGCAGCAGCTGGGCTTGTCTATGAGCTGAGGGGAGAGTGTCCCAGGAGCAAAGCAAAAACCCTGGACTCACCCCACCGCCACGTCCTCCAGCCCCCGCTCACTGCGATGTGGCCCTGCTCTCGCGGAGGCAGCAGGAACGGAGCTGCCCCACACAGGAGACGCAGTTCTCCTCCCCGGCCGGCCACCTCCCTGCAGCCGTGATGCTCCCTCTCTCCCTGCGTGGCTCCTCCACCTGCCAACCTTCGAGGGCTCCGAGCCCTGCTCCATGACCCTGCTCCTGGCTCCTGGGCCAGTGTCCCACCCACTGTGACGGAAAAGCCTGGCTGTCACTGTCCCGCTGTCCCTCTTTCTCTCACACTTGCCCAGCTGCGGGCCCAGCCTTCTGTCACACTGCGAAATCTCCATCCACACGACCCTGTCTGCCTCGGGCTCGACTCTCTCCAACAACCTCCTCAGCACACTTGTCCCCTACTGTCGTCCAGGACATGGCCAGAAAGTCATCGACTTAAAAGGTAAGCCTGACTGTGTCCTGCCCTAATGTTCTTCCATGTCTCCCCCCAGCCACACCACATGTGCCAAATGGAGTGACCACACCTACGGGTCGATGGATCATTTAAAAGCCCAGTAGGAATATGGCTGATCATCCTGGAGACCAAATGCCCTTACTGAGAGTTAAGAGACCTTTTCATTCTAAAGTACACACGTCACATGACGGGACAGAAAGCAGGGAAGATTTTCATGTACTAGTGAAAGGTCATGACAGGTTGCACACACCCAATCCCTCCTCCTCTGCAGACACACATACATGTACACACATCTGCAACATGGCTCTTCCCTGCTGCCTGGCAGGTGACCCTGCAGGGAGTTGACAAGGCATAAGCCTTTAGGACCCAGGTGACCCTCTACATGGCACACAGGCCCTCTAACCTCGACACTGCCTATCTTCCTGGGACCTGGGCCTCGGGCCCCAGGAGTTTCTCCCTGCCTGCCTTGCTCAGGCTCCTGGACCTGGGATGCCAGGTCTCTCCTCTGCCTCTTCATTTGACCAAAGGAAGGTGGCTCATGCCGCTCCTGGTGGCCAAAGGAAGGAAGGAGGACCAAGTCCATCCAGCATCCAGAGCCTGAAGAGGGCTGAGTCCACATTCTACATCATCTCTATGTCTGCCCCAGCTCCCTGTCCCGAGGGCTGCACACGCACCTCTCGGCCAGCGTCTGCTGCTCGTTGATGCCCACGTTGAAGAGGACGGGCTGCACCCGAAGCAGCATGCCGCTCTGGATCTCCCGGGGCAGGGTGTCAAACAGGGGGCCCGGCAGAGGGATCCGCACGTTAAACCCGTCCCTAGGAAATGGGAGAGGAGGGGTGAGGCTTGTGACGGGGGAGAAGGGAGAGCAGGCATGGGAGACGAGGAAGACCAAGCTCTCTGCAACACAGAGTATGGGCTGGCCATCTGGCTCAGTGACTCCCAAACTGCTGGTGTGAACCTTTAGAGGATGAAATTAACGTAGAGGGCTATAGTAAGCATTTTTAAAAAATCTATGTCTCTATTGATTTTAGAAAGAGGGGCAGGGAGAGGGAGAGAGAGAGAAACATCGATGTGAGAAGGAAACATTGATCGGTTGCCTCCCACACACGCCCCTATTGGGGATCTACCCTGCAACCTGAGTAAGTGCCCTGACTGGGAATCTAACCAACGACCTTTTGGTGCACAGAATGATGCTCAACCCACTGAGCAACACCAGTTGAGGCTGTGATAAGCACTTTTAACTGAATGAAACAATAAAACGAAAGTTAAGATTGCATGGCAGGGACACAGGCCAAGATGGCAATGTAGGTAAATGCAGAACTTGCATCCTCTCACAACCACATCAGAATTACACCTAAACTAAAGAACAACCATCATTCAGAAGCACCTGAAATCTAGCTGAATGGAAGTCCTACAACTAGGAATTCAAGAAGCTACATGGAGACTGGTCCAAGGGGCAGAGACGTGGACCAGGCTGGTCCCACAACCACATGTAGCATACAAAAATCAGGAGGGATATCTCAGTTGTGGACGTCCCCCCTGCAGAGTGAGGCACCATATCTGAGTCTCCACCAACCTGGTTAAGGCTACTTGCCCTGCCCTGGTGATTCCCTGAGACCTGACCCGCACCCTACTTGCAGGCCCACACAAGCTGCTTCCAATGGGTTTTCCATAAAACTGACCTATCTTGCCTCATGCTTCGGACTTTCCTAAAATCTCTCAAACAAGCAGCATCTGGCCTCTATGTACCCTGTCCCCCTTGCTAAGTGGCCCCAGGCCCAGCACTAGTGGTAGCCAGCCTTGATTCATAGTTTGGCTTCTTCTGGGCATCTCCAAGCCCAGCACAAGTAGCAGCCATTTGCAGATCATTCTGTACCTTATACCGGATGATAAAAGGCAGAGCCCACCTTCCGAGAGGCCCGAGACAATGAACCCAGTGGTCAGCTTCAGACCATGCCAATTACAATGTGGGCACCTCCATAAGCAACACTCTCAAGGGACAGACTTGGAGAGCACCAAAGCCCCACTGAAGCAAGTCCTGCTCCATAGGAATGTCTCCTGCACAGCAGCTCTTCTACTGTAGTCACAGTTGGTCCTCACAGCCAAATGGCCTTGGGGTCAATCCCTCCCAGTGATGCCAACAGCAATCAAGGCTCAACTACAGCAAGACTGTACACACAGCCCACACAGGGACACACCTGGAATTCCTGGCTTGGATGACTGGAGAGGCTGTGCCACTGGGCCCTACAGGACACCTAATACACAAGGTCACTCTACTAAGTCCAGGAGACAGAGAAGCTTTACCTAATACATAGAAACAAGCATAGGGAAGCACTGGAAGCAGCTGCCTTGGTTCACAGCTTGGCCTCCCCTGGGCACCTCTAAGCCCAGCACAAGTGATAGACATCTGCAGATGACTTTGTGGCCCCGGGAAGAACAGCAGCAGTTGACCTTGGCCTGCACTTCCCAGGAAGCCCAACAAGAGACAATGGACATAGTGGACAGCTTCACATAGTGGACATTGAAGCACCACCACCTAACCACCTCCACAAACAATATACTCAAGGGGTGGACTGCGCGGGCACCAGAGCCCCGCTGAAGTAAGTCCTGCTCTGTGGGGGTGGGCCCTACACTGCTGATCCTCCACAGTGGACAGAGGTTGGTAGTTGGTGGTTGCAGCCAGTCCTTGAAGCTGATCAGGTGGGGGTAAATCCCTCCCATTGACTTACCAACAGCAATCAAGGCTCAACTACAAGAGAAAGCTGTACAGCCCACATGGGAGGGGCAGTGCACACCTCAAGTGCCCAGCTTGGGTGATCAGGGAGGCTGTGCCACTGGACCCTATAGGACACCTATTATATTAGGCCATTCTAGCAAGCCTAGGAGACGTAGTAGCTCTACCTAATACACAGAGATGAACACAAGGAGGTTGCCAAAATGAGATAAACATGTCCCAAATGAAAGAACAGAACTCCAGAAAAAGAACTAAGCAAAATGAACATAAGCAATCTATTAGCATCAGAGTTCCAAAGACTGGTTATAAGGATGCTCAAGGAACTTACTGAGAACCTCAACAGCATATAAAAGGACCAGTCAGAAATGAAGGCTGCACTACCCTAAAATGAAGAATAATTTATAGGGAATTAACAGTAGATGAAGTTGAGAATAAAATCAGTGATTTGGAATATAAGGAAGCAAAAAACATCCAATGGGAAGAGTAAAAAGAAAAAAGAATGCAAAAAAATGAAGATAGTGTAAGGAGCCTCTGGAACAACTTCAAGCGTACCAATATTTATATCATGGGGGTGCCACAAGGAGAAGAGAGAGCAAGGAATTGAAAATCTATCTGAAAAAATAATGACAGAAAAATTCCCTAACTTGGTGAAGAAACTAGACATACAAGTCCAGGAAGCTCAGAGAGCCCCAAATAAGATGAATCCAAAGGGGCTCACACCAAGACACATCATAATTATAATGCAAAAGGTTAAAGACAGAGAGATTCTTAAAAGCAGCAAGAGAAAAGCAGTTAGTTACTATAAGAGAGCTCCCATAATACTGTCAGCTGATTTCTCAACAGAAACTTTGCAGGCCAGAAGGGATTGGCAATAAATATTCAAAGTGATGAAAAACAAGGACCTACAACCAAGATTACTCTACCCAGCAAAGCTATCTTTAAGAATCAATGGACAAATAAAGAACTTCCCAGACAAGAAAAAACTAAAGGAGTTCATCACCATCAAATCAGTATTATATGAAACTAGAGTACCGGTGCACAAAATTCATGCACAGGTTGGGGGCGTCCCTCAGCTCGGCCTGCATCCTTTTGCAATCCAGGATCCCTTGGGGAATGCCCAACTACTGGTTTAGGCCCAATCCTAAACCGGCAGTTGGACATCCCTCTTTCAATCCAGGACCACTGGCTCCTAACTGCTCACCTGCCTGCCTGCCTGCCTGATCGCCCCTAACCACTCGCCCGCCTGCCTGATCACCCTAACCACTTGCCTGCCTGCCTGATCATCCCTAACCACTTTGCCTGCCTGCCTAATCGCCCCTAACCTTCATGCAGAAGGACATCCAGAATGACATCCGGAAGGTTGTTTGTCTGTCTGGTTAATTAGCATATTACACTTTTATTATTATAGATGTTAATGGGTCTTTTTTAAGAAGAAGAAAAAAGATAAAAAAATAAAAAAAGGCAATAAGTAATTACCTATCAACAACTGAGTATAAAAAAAACCCCACAAAATAAATGAACAGCATAAGAGAAGCAGACTCGGATAGAGAACATTTTGACAGTTGCCAGATGGGAGGGGGGTGGGAGGGATGTGAAAAAAGTGATGGGATTAAGAAGAACAAATTAGTAGTTATAGAATAGTCATGGAGCTGTAAAATACAGCATAGGGAATGTAATCAGTAATAGTCTAATAACTATGTATGGTGTCAGATGGGTGCGAGATTTATTGGGATGTTCATTTAGTAAGTTATATAATGTCTAATCACTGGGTGGACATCTGAAACTAATATAACAATGTATGTCACATGTAATTGAAAAAAATTTTTAAGTGATTTAAAAAAAAAGAGCACATGGAAAGTAATAACCTTAAGACACCACTAGTTCTAAGAATTTAAAAAATACTTCTACCGATTTCCTGTGATGACAGGCAGCATGTCAGTTGATGCGTTGGAAGTGGCCTGCGTAACTTTGAAGGTCACGTTCCTCAAGTCCATGATTCCAAGGCTCATGTCCTCCAGCATGGCCAGCTCCTCACCTGGACGCAAAAGAGGGAAGGAGGGCGTCAGATGGAGGGGACCTGCCACTCTCCCCATGGACTCACCCGGTCACAGGGTGGGGTGCAAATGGAAGGTGACACAATCAGGTGTGGTTGTGACGAGTGGGAGTGAGCATGTGGGCAGGGCCTTTCCAAGCCTCTTCACTGGGCAATTTGCTTCTTCTCCCCAAGTAGATACTGGTATGAAACCAAAAAATACTTTTTAAATTATTCATTTTTATCTTCTCCAAAGAAGTAAGTAAAAATGGAGGTACGGAGAAAAGAGCCTTTTTAGAGGGCAATTGGGAAATATCTATGGAATTTAAAAATATTCCTACTCTTTAAAAAAATACTTTTATTGATTTTTTTAAAAAGAGGAAGGGAGAGGAAGAAAGAGAGAGAAACATCAATGTGAGAGCGAAACATCTACTGCTTCCTGCACACCCTCTAGCAGGTCTCAAGCCCGCAACCCGGGCATTTGGTACATAGGACAACACCCAACGACCTGAGCCACACCAGCCAGTTCCTTTGACACAGACACTTTCCTTCTAATGATTCAGGGGCTGCAGAAATGGGCCCACAAGTGCACAATCTTATGTGCAAAGATACATACCAGCACTGTTTTCACAGGAGGGGTTCAGAAATGGCCCAAACATCCTACAGGAAGTTGGTGCTTAGATAACCATCATCCCTCCTCAACTAGGAAGATCTCTCAGGTGTGTAACAACCACTATAAAGCTGGGGTCGGCGTCACTATGCAGGACTCTCATCTGGCTCTTTGCTACAGAGTTTGGTCATGCTGGATTTATGGGAATCAGCCTGTGTTACATGTGTAATCAGAAAAATATGCAGCAAGAAAGCATGGGATCACCTGCGTTCACACCCCCATGAACCCCTGGGTCCCAGAGGCAGAGAGGGCAGGAGCCCTGGGTCTCACCGTAGGTGCTCAGCAGGCTCTCAAACTGGGCGAGCAGCCCGATGGTGTAGAGCTGCCGCAGGAAGCCGTCGTCGTGCAGGCAGTTCCTCAGCTTGATGATGAAGCCGCAGATGAGAGCAGTCAGCTGCGGGGACAGACACTTCCTCACCCAACGTCAGGCACCCTGGGCCCGAGCTCCTCTGCTTCCTCGTTCTAACCAAGCTTCAGCAGCACCTTCTGCCTGGGGGCCTGGGCCCTAGGGAGGGCGTGCCACGCTCCAGGTTCACTACTCTGATGCTCCCAAAGGTACGTTTGGTTTTGGCTCAGCCTCTGACCTGACCTCCCAGCAGTTACTCCTGGACTAGTACCTCCTGGAAGCCAAGAATTAATTCCCCACAGTGAAAGGGTCTATATACTCCCAGATCCAGGCCAGCTCTGGCTGGAACTGAGGTGACACAACAAGGAACAGCAGCGAGAAAGGACTTGGCCGCTCTGCACGTCTCCTCCAAGGGAGACTTTCCTTGGGAGAAAGAGGCCTCCCGGGATGGGTGAGGACAGGCAGAGAGCCAGCCAGCTCAGCACAACTGTTCCCTTGGCTAAACTGATGACTGACATCGACGACACCCGTGACATTCATTTAGCTCTTCCCTTCTATGAGGACAACAGGAACCGCTGGACAGAGTGGTGCGCAGACTGCAGAGTTGAGCAGTTTTGTAAACAGGCCTGCTGTTTTGTAAACAGGAAGACAGTTTGCCTTGACAGCTAACAGCTGGCTCCCTTGCTGAAATCCTTTGTGGGGAAAAAGGCGGTAAAGAGGCTGAGCCTTTGGCAATGCCACCACACCCTGGGGGAAGGAGAAGCAGGTGTGTGCCTGCTGCCCTCAGGGCCCTTCTTCAGGGAGAAACTAGTCTGGCATCAGACCCTCTCCTCAGTGCAGACAGCTGGATGGGCTCCTCTGTGTCTCCATGTCACATAAATGCAAAAGCAACAGGCAGGACACTTGGCCCTCTGTGGTTCCCAAGGCAGAGAGGAAAGGCTCCTGTGCCTGTGTCCTGAGGGGAGGCGCGGGCTTACGGTTTGGCAGAAGACGGTGTCGCGGCGGTGCTGCAGGCTCAGGTAGGCAGCGATGGTGGGCGCGCTGTCCTGCATGAGCAGGAAGACCATGGCCTTCTTGGCTTTGTCGCTCATCATGGCCACACAGTCTGTGAGTGTGGTCAGCAGCGGGTAAAGGGCCTCACTCCATTCACCTGTCCCGGGGAGACAGCGTGTGAGAAGGGAGATCGAAGAAGGAAGCTCTGGAAGTCTAACAGGGTGCCTGTGCCTAACCCGCACTGCCCTCCCCACTGCACTCCCACCCCTTCTGCACCTAACTCCGCCGGGCCCACGCTCTGCCCGAATGGCGCCAAGTTCTGCCTGGATCGATCAGGTCACTAACCTCCCAGCCTAAAGCTTTCCCGTGAGCTCAAATGCCAGCCCTCCTCTGGAACCCAGACACATGCCTGGTCCCCCAAACCTGCGGGGGCCCGACATGTAAACACTCAAGACTATACTTTTTGAGGGAAATAGCAAGAGAAGGCCCTGCAAATCATGACTAAGGAAGAAAATTATTCTGTCTGTAGAGGCCAAGCCCCCGGTCCTCCACCCCAGGGCGCCCAGGACAGTGACCTGTTACCTTGCTTCTTGGCTCAGGCGCTAAGCACAAGGACACCCCTCCTGGTCCAGCCTCTGGCAGCTGTGCTAGCTGCTCCCTCCCCACGTCCGAGGAAGGATGGTTCCGCTCAGCTTCCGTGTTCTCAGCTCAGACATCCCTTCCTTCTGCACTTGCTCTTCCCCACCCCGGCCTTCCTGCCTGGTCCCATCTATTTCTAGTATAGAGGTTTTTAGGACTAGAAGGAAGCTTTGACCCTGAACCAAAACAACTTTTTAAAAATAGAACCTCAGGGGAGAAAACAGAGTGAAAGGAATTTGGGGCTTTGGCTCTTTCTCCTTCCTATTTAGAGAGCATTTCAAAGGGCGAAGACACCCTCCTCATCAGTTCTGTTTTTAACAGGTCACCAAACCCAGAAACAGGCACTTGATACCAGCACTGGGTGCACCCACCACACACACACAGCTGAGGCAGTGGGACAAAGCTGGGCAGCAGCCTCGGCCGGGGTGTCAGCCGCAGAATGCCCTCAGGTGCCCCCGCCCGCCAGGAAGGCCCGGAGCGTGAGCAGTGCATCTGCCAGGGGTGAGCTCTCTCTTAGATAAACACAGCAAGAAGGCCTGGCCCTGGCTCTGCTCTCTCAGACTCTGCGTTCAGCACTTGGTTGAAAAAGAAATGAGAGAAGTGCCTAAAACCTGCAGAAAGGCCCCCACACTCAGTGCTTGATGAGCATGGGTTTTTGAAGATGTAGCTATTCAAAATTTGGCCATGACCTCACTGTATAAGTAGGCCCACTGCATGTGGACAAGGGTTTACACTGTAATGGAAAAAGCTGGCTTACATTTAAAAGGTCAAAGCAGAACGGTCTTAGCCAATAAGTTATGGTGACAAAGAACACTGGACCAACGAGTGGAAAACGAGCAGGGGTTCCTCGACCACTCAGCCGGGTGGGTCCTTCCTGGTAAAATGGGAGCCTGGTACTAAATCACACCCGAGTCTCTTCCTCTAAAATTCTCAGAGACCACATTTTTGTTTCTTTGAAGTCTGTTGAATGCATGTCAGTTATATTCCGCAACGATTAAAAAAATCTGGTGGCAACCAAGTTTTAGTGCCCAAATAGTTTGGGGAAAAATGGTGTCATGACGACTTTCCGGAAAAAATAAGTCCTCTTAGAGCAAATGTTGCCAATTTTACTTTCTTTTCACTTAATATGCATATAGATATGCAATTAATATGCAAATTATGATCATTTTAACCTGAAAAATGCTCAAAATATATCAGTGGTCCTATCTGACTAAGCAAGCCCACTCCATACAGCAGTTTTTTACTTTGCCTACTTCTCATTCAAAAAAAATCCAAAGAATGACTCAGCTTTGCTACCTTATTAAAATCCACTGACAAAATTGGAGTATACAAGCATGGTTAGCAGGCACGCGGAGTGCGTGCAGGAGAGGGTGCGGCTCAGGCCTGAGCCCCCGCTGCCTGTGCACGGCCTGCTGAACGCTTCACCCACAACCATCTCCTCACCTACCCACAGCTGGGGAGGAAAAGGGCTCAGCGGGCTGAGGGAGACACGGGAGCACCTGCCACCTGCACACGCATCTGACTCAACTCCTCATGGTTTCTATGACGTCAAGAGCTTCAGAGTAGGGGTTGGGTGTTATGTATTTTGGGTCAATATGAGAAGCTAAAATGTAAAACTTTCAGACAAAATGAACGTCAGGGACAGTAATGACCTTCAATTAGGTCAAGGCATCTAGACATGAGGGCTGGAGAGGGGCTGTCTGGCCACAAAAGAAAACAGCAGCGACCAACAGATGCCCTAGTGATGCAGCCGAGTCACTTTTGGGGGCAGCTCTTTACCTAGTTGCTAACCTGTAACACGTGCTGACTGGTGACCAATCCATGGGCCATGCCTTTGCACCCCCGCTCCCCATTAACAGGGGAAGGAGGGAGGGAGGGAGACTGAGAGGTAAAGTGTGCCTGTGTGCGTGAATCCAGACTCCTGTAAGGTTGTGCAGAAAAAGCCAAAGGGATTCCTGGCTTAGTCCATTGGACATCAATTTTGGACAAGCCCCCAGCACTCGGGAAAGGACACAGCTGACCGAGCCAGGAGAGCTCTACCAGCCGGGTGTGGTGTGTGCCCGCCAGGGGCCCCACTAGCCTTCCCATCAGTAAACTGCAGGACACTGCGCTGAGGACAGCCCTGAGCTCCTTGGGGGGCAGGCTTGTGATGCCGCCCCTTTTCTGGTCCTGACTGTGGGGTGTGGTCCCGAACTTCTCCAACTCAGGCTCCAAGGAAGCAGCTCGGCATGAAGGCACAGGCCCGCCCTGGAGGTAAGCTGAGGACGGGAAGCCCAGAGACAACGGAGGGAGGAGGAGAGGGCACGGGCCAGGAGCAGCAACGGGGGCAAGGCACCTGTGTGTCCACCAAGGCCTCAGGGCCCTGAGGGTCCAGGGCACTGGGGGGGTGAGACCCCGCACTGACTTTTTTGGGAAAAAGAAACTATAAAAGGGGCTGAAAGCAAACTGGGGGTATGATAAGCCCAGTCAGATCAGCCCACTGATGAGTCAGGTGGATGGGAGCTGGGGCTGCAGCCAGCAGTCGCCCAGTGGCTGAGCTGGAACCACAGTGCCAGGTGAGCTGACAGGAAGTGGGTAAGTCCCACGATCGCTGGTTTGCTACCCTCTGGATACAGAGCAGGTGTCCTGCTAGCTCATGTTTACATGCAGGCAGGTGTGCAACCATCCAGTGATCATCAGCTGTTTGGAGTTGGAAGCTGACATATTATTCGGGGTCTCATGCTCACTCAGGGAACAGGCCAAACCAGAAAGCACAGTAAGAGCTGGAGGAGGGTCGGCACTTTCCTGTCAAGGCCTGGACAGGAAATACTTTAGGCTCTGAATACCACAGGATCTCCACTGCCATGACTGACCCTGGCCCTGCCCCACGAAAGCAGCCAGAGGCCACAGGAGCACATGGGCACAACTGGATTCCAGGAAAACAGTACTGACAAGAGCAGGTGCCTGGCAGGACTCTGCTCAGGGCTGCGGTTTGCCGACCCCTGAACTAGAGCTGTCAATGTTGATTTCTACGTGCAAAGTCAGAAGCCCCATGTCCAGCGCTCACTCCAACGGGAGCCACAGCAACCAGTGCCTGGCGCCTCGAGCTGCATCCAGACTCAGAAAAGAGTCTGTGTGACCACGAAGGTCACAGCCTTTGGGACTCCCTGTTACCCAACACACTCCCTCCAGTGATGCTCCGAAGTCCCGGTGAAATCACAGGTCTCCTTTACAAACGTGCACCTCTCTCCAGGCAGGTGACCCGCTGCGGGAAGCCCAATGCACTCACGGACATTAATCCTCTGAGACGGGTTTAGGGGGGAAACGTGGAAAAATGCACATGATGGCTGCTGCAGGCCACCGCCCCCAGCCCGACGGGTCCCTCACCCAGCCTCAGAAAAGCTGCTGCGTGCCTCACAATGAAGAACTCCTAGACAGCAATGCTGCAACTCTGGGAGCATGGTGCTCTGATAACAGACTGCACATGCTAGCTGAGTCTCGGAGAGCCCTCTGCGACCCTGGGGCGGAAACCACGTACCTGGGCTGGATTCTTCAGGAGGGGGGCTGCAATCTGCACAGAAACGGAGGGCAACATGGATGATTAAGAGCAGCACACAGTTCAAGCACCAAACTCAACGCTTGCAGCAACTGCTTCCATAGCCTGCAGTAAGGTGGCTATCCTGGACAGCGAAGAGGGGGCCCGGCCTGCCTCTTCCCCAACAAGTCGCACGGACGTGCTCTGACTACTCCAAGGCAGCCAAGCCCCTTGGTGGTAAACACAGCCCGATTCACAGGCATAAACATTCATGTTGCTAATACGTCAACATAGAATGCTTTTCGGGGTGAGCACGCTTACATGTTACAATGTGATGGAGAGCCCACGTCTGTCACATTGCATGTGATGGAGCCACTGTTGGCTCATGACATCTGGAAGCAAACTTGAAATGAGAGAGACTGACCAGCCAGCCACCGGAGGTCCCACCGCAGAGCTACTGCCCTGCTGATGGGCGGCGCTGGGCTGCAGACTGACTGCTGAGGCCCAAAGGTAGGACTCAGGGAGGAAGCCAGGACGCCAGGACCCTCTATGCCACTCTTTAACATGCAAGCCAAATATAAAACTTTATGATTAGGGGCAAGTCTAGAATTAGAATGGCCCTCCAGGTCCCTCAAAAATAACAATTGTGATTCAGTTTCACCCACATTGGGTCACACTGGGAAGTACTCATTTTAATTTCACATTTCCCTCAAAAAACCTAAGTTTCCTGTTAACTGGGTATGTCACCTAAAAGAAAACTAGAGATCATTTGGAATAAAAGTTTATTTTATTTTGCTGCCTAAACTGTTTAGTTCAAAGAATGCCTCCAGGATATGGAAATAGATCATTTCAGATCCCCAAGAATGGCTGGGACCGGCTACAGGGAGACTCAGAACCTGTGAAACTGTCCAAAAGTCGTGGCGTGGGATCCTACCCTTCTTGTCACCTCTGCTGATGATTTCTCTCTCCAGGCAAAGGGGACAGAAACAGAGCAAAATCACAGCCCTCAGAAAGCTCAGACTTCAGCCTCGTTGTCAGAGCCCATCTACCTACAGAGAGTGACCCTGCCCGGTGTGGGGATGAGCACAGCGGGTCTTCCACATCTGTCTGACTACTGAGAATGACGAGGCCTTGAGAAAAATACAGCTCTCTGCCTTCCCAAGACTGGGGTCTGAATGAGGAGGCCTGGGAGCCTGTTTGTGACCTTCTGTGGCGATCGCAGACAGCTGGGTTGGGACCACTCCTGAGAAGGCGTCTTCAATCAGAGGGGAGAGGGAGTGGGCCCCTGGGGTACTCTTGGACCAGCTTCTTGTCATAGGTCATGGAGTCCCCTGAGATTTCATGACCACTTCAGACTTTCTCTCATTTTAACACATAATCTCAGGCACACAAACCTGGGTGCGACCCACAGACCTCAGCTTATGGACAACCTGGTCCTGGTTTGAATGACTTTTGGGGGATGAGGAAAGCAAGAGAGTGTGTGTGTAGAAGGTAATGGAAGTCATAAATCCTGGCGCGGGTTCGGGAGGTGGGGAGAGAGACTTATGGAGCCGGCAGTGGGTCCCCCCTCCCAGCCGCCTGCCAGGCAAGGCTCTGCTCAGCTCTGCAGGAGAGTGAGCTAAGAGGCAGGCAGCTCCTTGGCAAAAGATGGAAAAGGAGGACCCAGGGTGGGCAGAGAATTGGAACAAAAAGTAACGATGCCTTTCACAGAGGCAGGGAGTTTGTAGGGAGTCAATATGCAGGTGTGAACACAACCTGCTCATTAGGCCGCACACCTGCCCCAGGAACGCCCAATGGTCTCAGAAGTCATGCCAGGGCCCAGCTTTGGCCCTGGAGGACAAGAGGGGAGTAAAACACGGGCCCCACAGTCTGTTTCTTTCTGATCCCCCTGCTCCTGCCGAGGTCCAAACAGCGTCCTGGCGATGCGCTGGGTTTCCGGGCTAAGGATCACGGCAGTCGCCTCAGTGGCATATGGTTCACAGTCTGTGAGGACTGGCAGCAGCAGCCTCCCTCAGTGTGTGCTGCACATCCCCCTCATCACCGCTCATTCGTGTGGCACACGTGATTACAAGTCAAACCTAAACAAATGCTCATTTAAATCACTTTAAAATTGCACTTAAGCCCTAACCGGTTTGGCTCAGTGGATAGAGCGTCGGCCTGCGGACTGAAAGGTCCCAGGTTCGATTCCGGTCAAGGGCATGTACCTTGGTTACAGGAACATCCCCAGTAGGAGATGTGCAAGAGGCAGCTGGTCGATGTTTCTCTCTCATCGATGTTTCTGACTCTCTATCCCTCTCCCTTCCTCTCTGTAAAAAATCAATAAAATATATTTTAAAAAATTGCACTTAAATTTGTCTACATTTGAACAAAACAGGATGTGTCTAGAAAAAAATTACATTTCAGTTATGGATGTAACAGTCAATCTGATTAAATAAACTATCTCCTGCATTTTAAAAATCCAAGAAATTACTTTTTGTACCTGCAGAAAAAACTTAAAGCACAAGCAAGACAATATTAAAGAGAAACGAGCAATGAGTTTTCAGACATTTTTTAAAGAAACGCAACTTACATTAAAAATGAGAACACAGAGACAGAAAAGCTCCATGAACTAGCTGTAAGCCTCACAAATGGAAGCGTGGAGGACGTGAGTGCTGCTGAGACAGGCCCCAGTGAAACAGACTGCAGGCAGACGGAGACGGGAAAGGCACGTCCCAGTGAGGGCTTGTCGAGAGCCTCCGAAGGAGGAAGCATGACTCTGCCTCGAATGAGAGTTGCCCAATTGAGAATTCAAAGTCCTGGCTGTAGGAAGCCTAACCCTGGCACAGCTGGGCCTCACTTCCTATGGCTCAATACGCCCACAGGAGAGCCACGAGGAAACGGAAGCTCGGTCTGCAGCCTGGTCTTGGCTGCCGGGCCCAAGCCTTTTCCTGTGAGAGCTGGAGGCTCCGAGCTGCAGAGACAAGAAGCCGATCGATCACGCCCTAAGGCTCTGAGCAGGGCCGAGCGTCTGCCTGCCCTGTTCCGCAGACAGAAGACTCTTCCTGCAGTGTGCTGCTCCATGCCAAGGTCCTTCCACCCCCCAGAGCCCCACCCTGGTGGTAACAACAGGAACCGAACTCAGCCCCAGAGGCACAGGCGCCACCATCAGACCGAGTTACCGCACCCCCAAGGCACCGTGCCTCTGCTGGGTGAGCGCGCCCACTAATGACAACTGGCCTTCCGACAAGTCCGCTGGGCCCGCTGACAGCTCTCCTCCAGCGTGTCCCTGCACCAGTCACCTGTCCTCGACTCTACCAGCTCCTGACCTAGCACAATACACAGCCTCATCAGAAATGCACGTGCATTTGGCCTCCTCCCACTTCTCAGACTGGTTCACAAACCAGAGGAGCCCAGGAGCCCGACCCTTACTGCTGTGGCAGCCTGATCCAAGAGGCCCTTCAGAGCCCACCTTAGCCAGACCTGCAGATGCACACGCAGGCTCCGTGGGCATGAAGCCCACAGGCGCCTCTGCCCTCACTGCCCGTTGCTCCATGCACGGCGACACCCCCTCTGCCGACAGCCCTCCCTGCAGTCTGCATGGGGGAAGAGGACACGGAGTCAAGACACAGAGAGATGCAGCATGAGGTGGAGGTAGTGTGATGGGAAGCCTGATGCATACGCACGTGTGGTCAGGTGAGGATGGCATGCAGCAGCGGGCATGGAGGCGGGGCGTGGTGAGGAGGGGGCATCACAGAAGGGGTCCTCCGGTCTGATCCAGTAGGCGTGGCTGTTCCGGTTACCTTTCTTGCTGGTGCCGCTGCCCGAGCAGGGGAAGCCGTCCTCACAGCCCTCACCGAGCAGGCGCTCCTTCTGCAGCAGCTTGTCCACCCTCTGGATGATGCACTCCAGGCTCTTGTCAACGTTCAGCCACACTTTCTCCTTCCAAAAGCAAAAGAGCTCATTTTGGTCAGCTCTCCAATGGGAAAGACAGAACAGATCACAAACCAAACCATCCCCCACTGATCCCCACCCCACACCATGCTCATCAAAACACAAGATTTAGAAATATCAATAGGATTCGTAATTCCCCAAATAAAATTTAAGTTGTATTTGCTTTTCAAAGGATGGATCTATGTCCCAGGTTGCTAGTTTTAAAATTTGGGAGATGTTTGCTAGTAACTATCATGGAGGCCAGATAGGGCTTCCCGGCCCCTTCCAGGGCTAACACAAGGGCCACAGGGCCCAGGGAGCCAGTGGCACCGCCCTCGCTCCCCTGAGACCTCCTGCATCACACACAACGGACCGAGGTCTCTTGGATGGAAGAGAATGGAAACAGCTGACCTCTTCTGAGGGTGGTGGGAGGAGGTGAGGGACGCCAAATCAGATCAGGGCTGAAGCAGCGCTTGCCCCGTAATTCAGTAACTCAAACTCTGCTTCTCAACAGTCTGGACACCTGACGAAACCAGTTCTATGCTACGTCCCTTTCTCAGGAGACACAGATCCGCTCTCAGGCACAACTCTGAGGACAACGTGCTGTGGTGTCAGGGCAAGCGGGTGAGGCATGGCGAGGGCCGAGGGCTCCAGGGGAAAGCCGCCCCTTACAGCCGGGTGTGAGAGTGGGCAGCCCTCAGCAGCCCGCTCCTCCGAGGGACACAGTGGTGAAATGCTGTCTCCCTCCCGACATGGGGTGGCCCCGCAGCTGTCTGGAAGGGGTCTCGGAGTTTTCTGCAAAGGCCCTCCTGAGGGAGAGCAGCTGTGGGACGTTTCCAGTTTCACCCCAAGCTCAGCAGCACGACGAGGCAATGGGTAGCACTCACCCACTCCTCCTCGTGCCAATCCACCTGCAGAGAAGACCGGCTGTTCCTGCCCGTCCACCTGGCCATGAGGGTGTCCTGGTCATTCCTGAGCATCACCTGCTCCTCCTCGGTCGAGGTAGGGGAGGCCTTGGAAGCAATATAGTCGGGCCGCGCCGCGTTCAGCCCATGGATGGAGTTGGCTAGCAGCTTGCAGTCGCAGACGGTGACCAGCTGCCGGGTCTGCAGGCGCACACACACCGGGGCCACTGAGCTCCAAGCCAGGGACTGCCAGACCTGTCCTCTGAGAGCTCGGACCTGCCTGAGTCTAGCACTGCCCCTCCGCCCCCTCCACAGCCCGCAGGACGCCAAGCCTGGACTGCCTCGTGACCCACCTGCGGACCCTTAGCCAGAATTCCCACCAAGAAGACTGGAGAACATGGGAGAATGAGGGAGGATGAGGAACCTCTAACAGCCAGTGTGCCTGCCTCTGAGCTGACATCGCTCAAGGAAGGGCCTAAAGAGGGCCCCGCGCCCCAGCCTTCAAGGACGAAGAGCTGTCTGTCCCCTCTAATCCAGGCGCCAGCCTCACTTTGGCTTAGTCACGGAAGCCTATCTTCTGCAGCTACTTCCTGGGGCCCGGCCCCAGCTCTGGGGGCTCCGGCGCTTGGCAGCTCCCTTTCCCGTGACTGGTGGTGACCCGTGGGGAGGATGGAACGTGTTCTGCTCAGGAACAGCGCCTCCCCCCACAGTGCTTGTGACCAGGGCCGTGTGAGCAGAATCTCTGTGTGTGTGCAAGGGACAGAGAGATCAGCAATTTGAAAACGCATCACCCATCAAAAGGACCTGAGGTAGCACATCCCAGTGCAGATGTATCCTTATGTATTTTAAATCAGGATCAAACTGCCATCAATGAAAGGCTGGTTTACTGGTTATATATAAACCAATAAAATATACTGTTCTATGTTATGTCTGTATAATAACTTGCTTTCTCTTTTTTTAATTCCAAGTACAAGTGAACCGTGGGGAAAATGTGCTGAGTGGGTGGTTACTAAGAAAGCGTGGAACTGTCAGGCCTTAACAGGGACTCCTCTGGCCCTGCTGGGAGCCGCCTGTGCAGGGAGCAGCGGTGGCCGTCACAGCCCTGGCCTGTCCTTGGCCTGTGACCACGGGCAAATCACCAAACCCCTGCATCTTGTGGGAACGAGATCTGAAGCTCACCTTCCAGATCATCCCAATGTCACCCACTGGGTGAACGGCTTTGGGCACCCCCTGCCACACCGAGGGAGCCCCCGCCCACACGCAGCAGGGCCGCCCCTCCTACCTTGTCTGCCAAGATGGCGAGTGTCCTTTCGAGGCCAGTGGCAGACCTGTCCTTGGCCGCCCTCGAGAGCCGCTCTGCGTAGTAACTCACTTGGGTTTTCAGGGTGTTGATCTGGGCGATGATCTCCTTGGCTCTGGTGACGTCCTGTGGTATGTAGATGATGGACTGGCAGCTGGATGACGTACTAAGAAAGGTAAGAACAGACCGATGAGGCTGGCAACGCCCTTCCACCCAGCCCGCGACCCACACAAAATGAAGCACTGCCACGCAGGGACGTGCTCCTGGGCTGGGATATCAAGGAGAGCCTTCCTGTCTGTATGGCAGAAGCCTGAAGAATTAACATACATTAAGTCTCCTATTATATCTGTATCTGTATCTGTACCATGTGTATGGACCTTGTGCGCAAATATTAAACCCAGAAATTACCTCACTGTCGAATTCTCAGCAGGACTTAGGTGGAGACATGGGGTCTGCTGATGCCAAAGGGGTCCGCTTGTCATAGTGAAGGGTGACTTCCCAGGGTGCAAGACTTTGCCAAAAGGATCCTTGAGTTTTCATTTGGCCAATTGGGACTTCAAACCTGCTGTGCCCATACCCACAGCTCTCCTCCCTCCCGTGTTGCCCCCAGCAAATCCTCAGAGACCCGGCTGCCTCCCCTCCCCTCTCCAGGACTTCCCTACTTTGAAATGGGAAGGTGGAGAGCGTGCCAAGCCAGAGGCCGCCCTGGACACTTCAAACCTGGGAGCTTTGGAAACCTGCTTCTTCCTCCCACCCTGCCTCCTCGCCACCAAGCAGCGTGTGTATCTTGAGATCTGAGGTCAAAGCTACAGCCTGGCCATTACTGGACACAAATAAATACCAGCCTCGGAGAGCCAGCCAGTGTCCTGGCGGCATGGGGCCTGCTGGCATGGAGGCCCTTCCAGACAGAGATGGTAAATTGCATGTCTCTCAGCTAAGATCCCAAATCAACCCGATATTATAAACAGATTTTTCAGACCATGTGTGGAAGCCGAGGAAAGCAGGGAGGGGAAGGATGAGGCACCAATGCAGAGGTCTCTCCCACAGCCGGGAGTCGTGGGCTCTGGCTGGAGTGGGTGTCCCCTGCTTCACTGAATGAGGGGCCCTGCTGGTTCCCTCAGAGCTGCCCACTAGGTTTGGGGGACGAGAGAGAAGGTGGAGAGCTACACCCTCCATCACCTTCTTTGGGGATGGGGGTGATCTGGGCAGGGCTGAGAACCTCCCCAATGGGCTCTTTCCAGGGCTGGCTATTCATTATCCAAGTCAACACAAAACTGCCCCGCCCCTTCCCTGGATGAAATATGGGTTGAGCATGCAAAAAGCAAAACCCAAAGCACCCCCGAAGGAAAGCACACCACAAGCCCACACACCACAACAAAGACCTGCCAGAAGCCATGCAGCAGCCTGCACTGCAGCCTGCGTGGTCCAACGGGAACCTCCCACAGCTCCAGGTGCACACGGCGACCTTCCAACCTGCAATCCCTCTTCCAAATGAATAGCTGCCATTTTAGACAATTCAATCTTAAAAATACAATCTCAAAATAGAATTTAAGAACCTTTAACCCTCCCAGTCCCCGATGTTTAGAGCACACACATAATGTGTGCTGTACGCAGATACCCATGTGTGTACCTAGATGTACACTTCCACACATATGTACCTCCCGTGCCCCAGAAAAGCATCCGCCCACTCACCCTGTCCTCACGGGCCATGTCCTCTAACAGTAAGCTGGGCCTTCCGCACAGGGAGCACATGAGTAGCTTCAAAGAGCTGCCCTTCGGGGTGACCATGAAGGTGTGAGCATGTGTGCCCATGCCTGGTCCTCACCGGGGAAAGCCGCGAGGCCTGAGCCTGGGAGGGCTCCTCAGGACTTCCCGTGCTGGACGTCCGTCCGCAGAGGCCAGCATCTCAGACAGGGCCCAGCCCAGCCCCAGCTTCAGCCACACCGGCTCCAAGGAGGGCGATCCCAAAGGCTGGCGGTGCCTCTGGGGCTGCCAACTGAAGAAGTGCCACTACAAAGCCCCGTTCTGGGCATGCCTGGGGCCTGGAGCAGCAAGGGAACCCCAGGCAGCAGACATGATGGTTTCTGGCTGTCATCTAACTCTTTGGTGGAAAAGGTCACTTGGCTATTGTAATTCTTGGTAAAACTAATACTAATAACACTGTTTTAAAATTATGCCTAAACTATTAAGTATCATGAAAATGTAAGCTGGCTTCATTCCCTAAAAGGTGATGGTGAGGGGAGGTGGAGACTGACAAGCCCCAAGGTTCTTGTAATAGAGCCGGAGAGATCTCAGTCCCCCTCGGTGTGGACGGACTCCCGCCTGGGGAGAAGCAGACCAGGTCTGCCCTCAGGGGAGCACAGCAACAAAGGCTCGGATTTTAAAGACAAAGCAGAGACTGGGCTGGCTATTCATCATCCAAGAACATTGCAGTTGGAAGGGAACGGTGTGGGGGCCTTAACTCAGAGCCCACAGCGCACGAGGCTGAAGCGCCTCTCAGGGAGGGGACAGCACAGGCTTCTCTGCACGAGAGCAAGACCCAGAGAGACTCTCTGCACAGACAGAAAACTCACCAACACTCCTCAAAACTGCTAAAGAAAAGAACCAAAATGACATATTAGCATGTGTTAGCAAATACCAAATGCAAACCAAAAATTTAAAAGCCCAGTTTTGTCAAAACACTTGAATTTGATAGTTGAAGGACAACTAACGCATGAGCCGGGTGCTCATTCCTGACAGCCTCGCGGGTGCTCATGCCCAGGGCGCATCCCTGGTGGGCACGGTGCGGCTGCACTTGAAGGAAGTTTCAACGAGGAAAACCGCTCCCACCAGTGCCTATGACTTTAGTAGGACGTTACATAAAAAGTCATATTATATATTTGAAAAATACCACAAAGGCATATAGGGGCTGAGACGTTCTGAAGTTAACACGCGGCGTAATCGGGCATGAGCACGCCAGCCTTCCTGGGACGAGGACAGCCGGGGGCACCCCTCTTGACAGGCTTTTCCCTCCAAGGCCCCGTGCCACCCTCAATCGCACGCTCATACTCCACACACCCCGTGCAGCAGTGTGACACACACAGATCTCTGCTGGCTGTGCAGTCGTGGGACAGGAGCCCTGGAGCTATCACAATGTCCAGAGAAACACCGGAGGCAGTGGGCCCACAGCGAGCCTGGCCACCTGGCTTGTCTGAGCAGGAAGGGCCCTTGGTGGAGATGCGTCGAGGTGGAACAGGCTGTCTGAAGCCTCCCCCTCCCAAGGCTGGAGCTCCCCTTCTACACCAGGCCCTCCCTGCTCCCCCTCCTCCCGCCTCCAGGAGTTCCGTGGCTCAGGGCAGCCTGCGCACCCATCTGCATGGACACTCCTCACCTGTCCCCTCCAGCCTTAGCGCCATGGCCAGCGACACTCCTAGCGGCATCCCTGCCCCAACACTGCCCCTGACCTTTCACCCATCCCTGGTCCAGTCCAAGGTCCGTTTCTCCAGCCACGTCCTGACTCCCGGCCACGGCAGCACAGAGCCCGGCCAGGGCCTCCTGGCTCCGGCGCCTGCTAACACTCCTCCTGACCACCTGAGGGGACTCCCTGGCCATTCATTCCCTGGGCCTTTTATTCACCTTCCCTCAGCCCGTTCCATTCCCAGTGACGAGTGTGGCCTTCCAACTCCACATTCTGCAAGGGCTGTTCCACCAAACCTCAGCTTGCGCCTTCCCACCTCAAAACTCTGCCTGCAGCCTCTGCTCTCCATGTCCCTGGCTCACTGCCTGGCCCTGCCTCTTTCCACCTTCTCCAGAACCTGCTCGGTCCATGTTCTCCTCCACCTGCCTCACTCACTTCCATCTTTCCTTTCAGCCTCAAAACGTTCACATCATGATCGTCCTCCCCAAGCCCGAGCCTTTCATTCTCTATTTCAGGTCCCAGGATCTCAGAGTACCCTCGACACTCACCACCTCCACTTCCTACACGCCCATCCCTTCACCGATTTAAATCTTGACATTCTGGAAGATCACCTCCCCCGTGCCCAACGCACTAGCTCGGATTCGCAGGTCTCTCCCCGCCGCCCCTGCTGCAGGCTCCACAGCACCCCGTGTGCTTGCTCCCACGCATGCCCTGCTCACGCCAGGCCCAGAGCTCCTCAGGCCAGGCCACATCTGTCGGCCCCACACTGAGGCCAGCTCTCCTCTCGCTCCTCTCCCCAGAGCATCCCCGTGCCTCCAGCTGCACCTCACTGCGCTCTGCACCAGCCTTCCCCACCTGCTGCCTGGGAGCTTCCTGCTCAGCATGGCAGATCCGTGCAGCCCCTCAAGCCTTTTTGAAACTGGGAATGTTTCTCCACAGCATCCCTTAGGAAAGGAACAGCCTCTCCCAGGCTGCACACCTGGGGATGTTCACGGACCAGCCAGCGACTCTCACGGACAGCAGAGCCAGCAGTCCACTCAGGGCAGCTGCCAAAAGCACTGCCTTCAAGGTGATTTCCATGTGCAGGGACAGGACTACTGACCAGCTGGCCCCCCCGCCCCCGCCAGTGGCGCACAGAGCAGCACAGGGGCAGTAGGCAGCCTCTCACGACGCAGCAGCAGCTGAACGGCTGGTGCGTATGTGCTCACGTTCTGATGTTTTAACCCAGGAAGCATCACACAGCCATATGAGGACCATGAACCCCCCACAGGAACTTACTGTTTCTTGGTCTCTTCAAATTTGTGCAGCTTTTTGCGGAGGCCTCCTGACTTAAAACCTTGGCAGTGTGCGGCTGGCGCCCCAATGGTGACGATGTCATAGCTCTGATCTGAATGACAGAAAGCTCTCCTTCATTACCCTGGGCTTGGGCCTGCGGACGAGCCAGCTACAGGGATATGCACACAGGTCTGGGGCCTGACCCTCCCCCAGGTCCACGCAGGCTGCGGTTCCCTGAGCCCCACAGCCTGGGCTGTCCAAGGGCCCCTAACCTCCCAGGGTGAAGCCACACGGGGCTGAAGGCAACATGCACCCTGCATCCCTACTTGGGGAGGATGACGGATGGGCAGCTTTCTGCCACAGAAACGCAAAGGAAGCTGGACAGAGGAGACACGAGAGGAAGGGGTTTGTTCTCTGAATGAAGACCTTACAAAGGTCCTGAGATGTGTCTCTCATCGAGCTTCCCAGCAGGACATGCAGGCAAGGCTGGTGCAGATGTGGGGCAGTGCAGGGCCGACGTGCACAGGGGAACAGAGTGATAGGGGTTCCACAAGAGAGGCCGCAGTTACCTGATCCTCCATCGTCCTGAACCCTCATCCTTTGTATGTGCAAGTTTGTGGGAACAAATTCCAACTTTTTATCTGCTTTCAAACTGCTCGCTTTAAACGAGGGACCTAAGAAACGGAATATTCAAAAACAAAGAGCATCAACATGTATCCGCACTCACGAATGGCAGTAGAAAGGGGTACTGTGGGGACGCTGCTCAGAAAGCAGGTATGGGTGGTCGCAGCCCTGGCAATTCTGCGTTGCCTACAAGCGCATTTCACTTCCAGACGCTAAAGGAGGGCAGCCCGCTGGCCGGGAGACTGGCTCTGGGTGTAGGTGGGGAATGGAGGCGGGAGGCAGCCTCAGGAAGGACGGTGGATGCCTGCCCACCCATGACTCCGCTCTTCACAGAGAGGCTGACACAGCAGGAGGCTCTGTGCTACAGGATGCCAGCAGCACTATAAAAAGCCAGGCCCACGCCAGGACTGCCTGCTCCAGCTCTAGAGGCTGCCATCATCCCAGACCTCCGGGACTGGTTCAACTAGAGCAGCACTTCTCAATCCTGAAAAGTGATGGCAAGATCTGCTCACCACCCGGGCTGTGGGGATGGACAGGTGCTGGGCAGCACCAGTTCTGGCCACTAGAACGCAAACTCAAACAGGCTCCCCTGTGCACACTGGGTGGTCAAGCAGGTGGACGATGTTGTGTGACAAAGATCTGCGATCTGATTTCCACAGTCAAAATCTGTAACTAATAAAGGAACTCCATGCCCAGAAAAGAAAGGAATTATAAACTACACTGACAATCAGGGTAGAAGAGGTAAGCAGTGAAGAAAGGAAGATTTATTTTGCCAGGATACAAAATACAGGCAGGCACTGTCCGCTCTGCACAAGGCTGCTCACTGGGCACGTACGGCGGCCCTGGCACCAGCAGCGGGGAGCCTGCTGGAATCACAGAATCTGCTATCAGTAAGACTGGGCATTTAGACACAGTGACATTGAGAGGCTCTGCTCCAGAAAACTCGGGCTGTGTGGTGTCAGACTCTCCCAGGTAACTGGCATCCAGCCTGGTAGGTCCCTACGTTCCTTCAAACAAATGCTGCCTTTTCTCTTAGAAATACACTGGGATCTATTCTTCAGATTCAGAGCAAACCTGGGCGCCAGCATCTTATTATCACTCCTGTGTTCACTTCTCCACAGCCAAGTTCATGGGCATGCTCACACGTTGTGGGTCAAAAGTACGGTAAGGGCTTATGATTTTCTTTCAAGCCTGAAATTTCATTATGAAGAGCAGAAGGAGGGAAGAATCTAAAGATAGAGAATAAAGTAATGGAACGCCTCCACCCCCCCTCCCCCGAAAAATCATTCCGTTTGGAATAAAAAGGGAGTAAGTAAGGAACAGTCTTCTAAACCTTCCCTGAGAGTGTTCTGAAAATCAAAGGGTATCTTTCAAGAAAAGGTGAGGTGTCTGTACTCCACCTCCCATTGGAGCCTTAAAATAGCGAGTTCCACTCAATCTATATTTCAATGCAAATGCCACTGTTAAACTGGGAAATGGAGAAAAGTGCTTGTCGAAGGCACAGGGCCTCCATCCTTCGGGCATTTCACTGCTATTAGGCCATTGGTCTCTCCGAAATCTCATCCGCACAGTGGTTGTTTTGGCACATGGCTCCTCGGAAGGAATTTTCAATGTAATTCACAGATTTGCCTTCTTAATTAGGACCTGAAAAATCTAAATTTTAGAGAATTCACACCTCCATGAGAATCTATTTTGAAAAATCCATTTGAGTGTCTGCCAGTGTGACTATCTGAGCGCTCCTGGGGTCGAGTCCCAGTGGGAACAAGAAAGTGTGTGCGTAGTGATGGAGAGACCTGTGCCCACCTTTGTACTGATGCAGGTCGGTCAGGTTCTCCTGGTACGTGAGGATGATGGTCTGGTACTGAGTGACAATCTGGCGCCGGAGGCTCTCCCAGCAGGGGGACAGCTCCCCCAGCTCCTCCAGTTCACACACTCTGCAAGGAAAACACAGGCATGAGGCCCAGGGTCTGCACCACCAGAAAACCAAGTGCACACAGAAGCACGGAGATGCCAGGGAGGGCCCAGCACCGGAGTCTAAGCCAAGCAGCAGGGGCGTGACGGGCCCTCCAGGAGGAAGGGCTGCACGAGACGCAGACCCGACCACAGGGCAAGTGCACAGAGAAGCTTTTTACAGAAACGCAGCCAAATGTTTGAGGCAAACTAAGTGGAGGAGCGGAGGGGAGAGCAGCTCCGCCCTGGCCCGACACCCTGGCTCCTGACAGAAACCACCTGGGCGAAGGCTCAAGCTGCAGCCACTGGGCCTGGGCAGAGCAGGATGACCTGTGACCCTCCCAAACACGAGGGGCTGGAGACCTGTAAGTAACGGCTATGATTTGTTGTCTCCAGAAAAATAACAAAACACAAGACGAATTAAAAACAAACAAACAAAAAAAACAGGTAACCGTTTTAGGAACCTGGGGAGCAGGAAAGTATAAAAGACCTAAAATCCTCATTTTATAAGAAATCAGTACTGGAGAGGGAAAATGGCGGAGGTATAAACGGACGTGTCCGGTGCCTTGTCCTGGAGCAGATAAGGGTGAGCAGCTGAAACGGGTAACATGCAGCCCGAATAGGCAGAGGATTTTCAGCTGAGAGACTGTCTGCAGCTAGGAAAGACCGAGAACCCCCAGGAAAAAAAAGGACGGTTGGAGACTGCGGCTGAAGCCTCTCGTGGTGCGCCAGCTAAGCAGCGGAGATTGCACCATCTTCGGTGGTTGTTGCCGGCATCCAGAGACCAGCTACTAATCTGGAAACAAGGGATCTCAAGCAGCGTGACTGCGTGAACTCAGACGAGCACTGCTTCTTCTCACGGAAAGGTTGGACATCCCCTAAAGGTGCAGTTTGCAGTTCGGGTTGGAGGGAGGACCGAACACGCGCGCGTTGGGCAGAATCTGCGCCCCACAGAGTACACAGCCGTTGGGACCAGCGTGACCCGCGAGTGGGGATGGGGCCCCACAGGGCTGCTGGCAGAAGGGAACGCGAAAAATGAGCCCATTGCTGGACTGGATGTAAAGGAGCAGCCTTGGACTTTGCCAATCTGCTGGCTGCTTAGTGCCAGGGGCGAGTGGGCGCGCGGAGACTGCGCGCGGAGACTGTGCGCAGACCTGGAAGGTGGAGGCTTGCGAATTCGCACAACTATCAGCCTCTTGTTACAGTTCCCCTTAGATCCGTGCATTTGATTACTAAACCCAGTGCATGGGATTCCCCAGTTGGGGCCATTCGCAGAGCCTGTAGGGGAAAGTTCTTTTTGGGGAGCCTGGGAAACAGCGGGCAGTGGCAAGGAACCAGCTCTGGGCAGTGGTCTTTCCCAAATCAGTTCCAAATACCATAGAGGAAAAAAACAAAACAAACAAAAAAAACCCCTACTGATAGAGAGGACTTATAGCCTCGGAGGTCAATCCAGACACACTGCCACCCAGAGGCAGAGCCACGAACTGTCTCTTCTGTGATCACAAATAAAGGCAGTCTGGTAAACAAATACAACCTGCCTTAAAATCAGGTCTGTGGTTTACTGCACGAGGGACAGTGTATCGCAGGGAAGTTCAACACTCCCCTGAATGCCTGGCAGGACTAAGGCGTGCCAAAAAGAAGAGTGGAAGATCTGAAGCACCTTCACTTCCGAATATTTTTATATATATATATTTTTTTTTAATTCTTTTTTCACCATTTCATTAAGAACCCATTTTATTTTTTTTTTTCATCACTTGATTTTACCTTTTTAATTACTACATTTTTTTAACCAGTATTATTGGTATCCTTTTACCATTTTTTCAAGTGTCATTTTATTTTTTATTATTATTTTTTTAATTTTTCTTTATTTTATTTTGGGATTAGTGTTCTACACTCTATTTTCATCGTTCCTTTAGCATCATTTCTCTCTATCTCACATTTACCCTTAAGCCAAAACTCTCTTCCTCACTTTTCCCCGTTTGTTGTCCTGTTTCTCTTATCCTATTCCTGCTTTGGATTTTCCCTATTCCTTCTTTCTACCCACTGTCTAAATTTCACCTTACTTATATATCTAATTTCCAATCCCTCGCTCTAAATCCATATACACCTCTCTCTTATCTTTCTTCACTATCTAATTTTTTTTTCTCTCTCTCTCTGTCGTTTTGCTAGTGTTTGCTTGATTTTGAGTATATTGGGGTTTTTTATGCTTGTGTGGGAAATTGTTTTGTTTTTCATTTTCATTTTTCTGTTTTGCTTACTTTTTCTTTATCTGGTTATTTTTGTGCTTCTGTTTTCCCTTGCCTCGCTTGATATTGGTGGTTGTTTGTAGTTTGCATTAGTCTCCAGGGATCTGCTGCTGGAGTTCATTGAGATTGGTTGTGGTTCTCTTGGAGTTTTCTCCCCATACAAATAGCCTCTTCCCCACCTCTATTTCATTCTCTTACTTTTTTTTCTTCTCTTTTTGTTTTTTTCTTCTCTTCCTTTTCCCAATCTCATTTCGGCACTCCTTTTTGTTTTTTATTTTTCTCTTTAATCTTTTTCTCTTTTTTCTTCTTTATCCACTAATGCTCTTCGCTTGGGGGGTCACCTTTATTTGGGGTTATTAATATCGTGAATGCATTTAGTTCGGTGCCTTGTACGTTGTGCCTTGTTGTGTTGTATTTTGTGCCTTTGAATCAGCGCAGCAGAGAGAGAACTACATAACCAAACACCTTGAGAAGAGAAATCATGGTGAAACAAAGAACCAACCCAAATATGAAAGAAAAATAGGCATCATCAGAAAAGGAAGTAAACTAAATGGAGGCAATGGAGGCAAGCAACCTGTCAGAGAAAGAATTCAGAGTAATGGCCATAAGGTGGATGAAAAGAATGGAAGACCAATTCAACAATATGTGTAGGAACCAAGAGGAAATGAAGAAGAACCAAGAGGAAATGAAGAGAAACCAAGAAGAAATGAAAAATGACATCACTGCCATAAAGAACTCAATAGAAAGCATCAACAGTAGACTAGAAGAAGCAGAGGACCGTATCAGCGAGCTAGAAGACAAGGTAGAAAAAAATACCCAAACAGAACAGCTTCTAGAAAAAAAAATTAAAAAGCAGGAGGAGAGCCTAAGAGAACTCTGCGACAATGCTAAACGAAATAACATCCGAATAATAGGGGTGCCAGAGGGAGAGGAAACTGAGCAAGGAATAGAAAACCTGTTTGACAAAATAGTAACAGAAAATTTCCCTGATATAGGGAGGAAAAAACTCACACAAATCCAAGAAGCTCACAGAGTCCCAAACAAAATGAACCCGAAAAGACCGACAACAAGGCACATAATAATTAAATTGGCAAACACCAACGACAAAGCAAGAATCTTAAAAGCAGCCAGAGACAAAAAGTTACCTACAAAGGATCCCCCATCAGACTAGCGACTGATTTCTCAACAGAAACACATCAGGCAAGAAGGGAATGGAATGAAATATACAAAATCATGCAAAGGAAGGGTCTGAATCCAAGAATACTATACCCAGCGAGGCTATCAATCAAAATTGAGGGTCAAATCAGGAGCTTCACAGACAAAAACGGTCTACGGGAGTTTATTACAACCAAACCAGCAATGCAAGAAATGCTAAAGGGTCTGCTGTAAATAGAAAAAAAGGAAACACAGAAGGAATGCAGCGGTAAAGAACAAAAATGGCGACTAACAAGTTTCTATCAATAATAACTTTAAATGTAAATGGATTAAATTCCCCAGTCAAAAGGCATAGGGTAAATGAGTGGATAAGAAAACATGACCCATATATCTGCTGTCTACAGGAAACCCACCTCAGAAAAAAAGACGCACACAGACTGATGGTGAAGGGATGGAAAAAGGTTTTTCAGGCCAATGGAAGTGGAAAAAAAGCCGGGGTAGCAATACTTATATCTGACAAATTAGATCTCAAAGTGATGGACATAAAAAGAGATCAAGAAGGCCACTTCATAATACTAAAGGGAGCAGTCCAACAAGAAGAAATAACTCTGGTAAATATATATGCACCCAATATAGGAGCACCCAAATACGTAAGAAATCTTCTGGAGGAGATCAAGGGAGAAATTGACAGCAATACAATCATAGTAGGGGACCTTAACACCCCACTATCTCCACTGGACAAATCCTCTAAACAGAAACTCAGCAAAGAAACATCAATCCTAAATGACTCATTAGATCAGATGGAATTAATTGACATCTTCAGAACATTTCACCCCAAAGCCACAGAATATACATTCTCCTCAGGTGCACATTTGTCATCTTCAAAGATAGACCATATATTGAGTCACAGACAAAGTCTCTTCAAATTCAAGAAAATTGAAATCATATCAAGCATCTTCTCAGACCACAAAGGCATAAAACTGGAAATCAACTACAACAAAAACAATCCAAAAAAATCAAACACATGGAGACTAAATAGCATGCTATTAAACAATGACTGGGTTACTAGTGAGATCAAAGAAGAAATAAAAAACATCATGGCAACAAATGACAATGAAAACACAACAATCCAAAACCTATGGGACACAGCAAAAGCAGTCTTGAGAGGGAAGTTCATAGCTCTACAAGCCTACTGCAAGAAACAAGAAACAATGAGAATAAATGACCTAACTCTACAACTCGAAGAGTTAGAAAGAGAGCAACAAAAAAGGCCCACTGTAAGCAGAAGGAAGGAAATAACAAAGATCAGAGCGGAGATAAACGACATAGAGACCAAAAATTAATACAAAAGATCAACAAAACCAAGAGCTGGTTCTTTGAAAGGATAAACAAGATTGATACACCTCTAGCCAGGCTCACCAAGAAACAAAGAGAGAGGACCCAAATAAACAAAATCAGAAATGAAAGAGGAGAAATAACAACAGACCCCATAGAAATACAAAGGATTGTTAGAAAATACTATGAACAACTCTACTCCAACACACTAGACAACCTGGAGGAAATGGACATATTCCTAGATAAATACAACCTTCCAAAACTTAACCAGGAAGAATCTAAAAATCTCAATAGGCCAATAACTATGGAGGAAATCGAAGCAGTCATCAAAAAGCTTCCAGCAAACAAAAGCCCAGGACCAGACGGCTTCACAGGGGAGTTTTACCAAACATGCAAGGAAGACCTAAAACCTATCCTCCTCAGACTATGTCAAAAGATCCAAGAGGAAGGAACACTTCCCAGCTCATTCTATGAAGCCAACATCACCCTAATACCAAAACCAGATAAAGACAATACAATGAAAGAGAATTATAGGCCAATATCCCTCATGAACATAGGTGCCAAAATCCTCAACAAAATCCTAGCAAATCGGATCCAGCAGTACATCAATAAGATCGTACACCATGACCAAGTAGGATTTATCCCAGGGATGCAAGGATGGTACAATATCCGCAAATCAATAAACGTGATACATCACATAAACAAATTGAGAGAAAAAAACCACACAGTCATATCAATTGATGCGGAAAAAGCATTTGACAAAATCCAACACCCTTTCTTGATAAAAACTCTCAGCAAGATAGGAATTGAGGGATCATACCTCAACATAATAAAAGCCATATATGACAAACCCACAGCCAACTTCATAATCAATGGGCAAAAACTAAAACCATTCCCCCTAAAAACAGGAACAAGACAGGGATGCCCCCTCTCACCACTCCTGTTCAACATAGTACTGGAAGTACTGGCCGTTGCGATCAGACACAAAGAAGAAATAAAAGGCATCCAGATTGGAAAAGAAGAAGTAAAACTGTCCTTATCTGCAGATGACATGATACTGTACATACAGAACCCTAAAGACTCCATCAAAAAATTATTAGACGTAATAAATGAATTCAGCAATGTAGCAGGATACAAAATTAATGCTAAGAAATCCATGGCACTTCTTTACACCAATAGTGAACTTACAGAAAGTGAAACTACAGAAGCAATCCCATTTACCATTGCACCAAAAAAATTAAAATACCTAGGAATAAACTTAACTAAGGAGGTAAAAGACTTATATGCTGAAAACTACAGGACACTGAAAAAAGAGATAGAGGAAGACATAAACAGATGGAAGAATATACTGTGTTCATGGATTGGTAGAATCAACATCATCAAAATGTCCATACTACCCAAAGCAATTTATAGATTCAATGCAATCTCCATTAAATTACCAACGGCATATTTCACAAATCTAGAACGAACGTTCCAAAAATTCATCTGGAATAAAAAAAGACCCCGAATAGCTGCAGCAATCCTGAGAAAGAACAAAGTAGGTGGGATCTCAATACCAGATATCAAACTACATTACAAAGCCACTGTTCTTAAAACAGCTTGGTACTGGCACAAGAACAGACATATAGATCAATGGAATAGAATAGAGACCCCAGAAATCGACCCAAACCACTATGCCCAATTAATATTCGACAAAGGAGGCAAGAGCATACAACGGAGTCAAGACAGTCTTTTCAATAAATGGTGTTGGGAAAATTGGACAGATACATGCAAAAGGATGAAACTAGATCACCAACTCACACCATACACAAAAATAAACTCAAAATGGATAAAAGACTTAAACGTAAGACGGGAAACCATAAAAATACTAGAGGAATCCACAGGCAGCGAAATCGCAAACATATGCCGAAGAAATTTCTTCTCTGATAATGCTCCTAGGGCAATGGAAACTAAAGAGAAAATAAACAAATGGGACTACATCAAAATAAAAAGCTTTTGCACAGCAAAGGAAACCATCAACAAAACAACAAGAAGACCCACTACATGGGAGAACATATTTGCCAATGATACCACCGATAAGGGTTTAATTTCCAACATTTACAGGGATCTCATGAAACTAACAAAAGGAAGATAAACAATCCAATAAAAAAATGGGCAACGGACCTAGATAGACATTTTTCGAAAGAGGACATACAGAAGGCCGAAAGACATATGAATACCTGCTCAAAGTCACTAATTATACGAGAGATGCAAATCAAAACGACAATGCGTTATCATTTCACACCGGTCAGAATGGCTATCATCAACAAATCAACAAACAACAAGTGTTGGAGAGGATGTGGAGAAAAAGGAACCCTTCTGCACTGCTGGTGGGAATGCAGACTGGTGCAGCCACTGTGGAGAACAGTATGGAGCTACCTCAGAAGACTAAAAATGGAACTCCCATTTGACCCAGTGATCCCACTACTAGGAATATATCCCAAGAAACCAGAAACGCCAATCAAAAAGGATATATGCACCCCTATGTTCATAGCAGCACAATTCACCATAGCTAAGATTTGGAAACAGCCTAAGTGCCCATCAGCAGATGAGTGGATTAGAAAACTGTGGTACATACTATGCTGCTCTAAAAAGGAAGGAACTCTTGCCTTTTTTTTTTTTTTTTTAAATATATTTTATTGATTTTTTACAGAGAGGAAGGGAGAGAGATAGAGAGTCAGAAACATCGATGAGAGAGAAACATCGATCAGCTGCCTCCTGCACATCCCCCACTGGGGAAGTGCCCACAACCCAGGTACATGCCCCCGACCGGAATTGAACCCGGGACCTCTCAGTCCACAGGCCGACACTCTATCCACTGAGCCAAACCGGTTTCGGCGGAACTCTTGCCTTTTGCAACAGCATGGATGGAACTGGAGAGCATTATGCTAAGTGAAATAAGCCAGTCAGAGAAAGATAAATACCACATGATCTCACTCATTTGTGGATTATAGAGAACAACATAGACTGATGAAAAGGGACAGACCCAAAGACTGAGAAACAGCGATCAGGCTATCAATCCCCAGAAGGAAAGTAAGGGAGGGCGGGGGTAAGGGGAAGAGATCAATCGAAGGACTTGTATACATGTATATAAGCCAAACCAATGGACATGGACAACAGGGGGATGGGAGCATGAGTTTGTGTGTGTGGGGGAGGTTGGGGGTTAATGGGGGGGATGAGGACACATTTGTAATACCTTAACTAATAATAAAAAAAAAAAGGAAAAAAAATAACAAAAAAGTAAGTGGTTCTGGAAAAATGTACTATATGTTGATTTATATAAAATGAAAAAAAAAGTAAAAAAAAAAAAAAAAAGAAATCAGTACTGATTAAAAGTACTCTGCGCATACACTTAGAAATACAGCAGTTAACACTAACATGGAAACCTTGAGACTTACGTGTTTAACCGCCTTCGGCAGTATTTAGCTTTTTATACTATGCACATTTTCCTTCGAAGGGAAAAAACCTAATTTATAGAAGTTTTTAGGAATCTACTAAGTTGTCTGATGTTAAAAAACATTGTACTACTTTATTATTATATTAGCAAAATTAATTTGCCCTGGCTGGTGTGGCTCAGTTGGTTGGAGCATCGAACTGTACACTAAAAGGTTGTGGGTTTGATTCCCGGTCAGGGTACATACCCGGATTGCAGGTTCGATCCTTGGTTGGGCATGTACAGGAGGCAACTGATCTATGTTTCTCTCTTTTCCTTCTTCTCGCTGCCAAGTCGATTAAAACATATCTTTGGGTAAGGATTAGAGAAGTTAATGTAAAAGAACACCCTGTGCAGATCAGGCTGTGGGGCTTGCGGGAGAGCAGCATCCTCGCTCAGAGGCCCACTGACCCCAGCCTCAGCACGGCTCACACGCACCCTGTGGTCCCTCTGGATGTCTCTGCCTGTGCTTCGTGTGGCTCCTTCTTATGCTTCAAGGGTCAGTTTAATGTCACAGAGGCCTGCTCAGACCACCCTCCCTCTCAGGGACCCCTTTTACTTTCTGCTGACACATCTGGGGCTCCATGTGTGGCCCCCAGTTCTGTTAATGACTGTCTCCCAGGGTGTCTCGCTCATCAAGGAGCCTTGCACTGAGCACAGCACCTGCCACGTGGCTGGAGTGAAAAACAGCACAACCCTCGAAAGCAAAATGCTTCTGTGAACAGTCTTTAAAGTTACAGTGCATGTGAGCACATACCTAGTGCCAACAGTGAGAAATGATGCCCTACCTAGAAATGATAAGAAAAGTGAAGATATAGGGTAGCTATGTATAAAGGCACAGATATAAAAAAGCTGAGAGGAAAAATGTAAAAATTAAAATACATATAAAAGATGTATGAATAGAGAGAAAGCAGCTCTTTGCATTTCTTGCCATTTTTCTTTTAAGTTTGATTTTTTTTAAGATGAAAATTTAAAATGAAACAGTTGTGTTAACACAGAAGGATTCTGGCTACAATGTTTTCATTCACGCTTTTGTTAATTGTGTCTGTAATTAACATCGTTTTATGACAAGGAGCAGTAATGACAGTGAAGGGCAAACGGGAGACACAACCTACATGCTGAGCCACCCTGGCTCCTCCCTGCCTGGGGACCAGTGGCGCATGCCCTGAGCTGGAAGGATGCCCAATGGGTCCTGTTTAACTTTCTGGAGCCCATATCACTGTGGCCCTGCCCACGGAAACGGCTGACCCCGGCAGCCATCACCAAAGAATGACCAGCTACTTTTAACTTCCTGAGGCCAAGAGAGTGGTGAAAGGAGAGGGAAGGGAGCGGGGAGCGGGGACCGAGTCCCGGGCGTGTCTAGTGCTCCAGGCACATTGTCTTGTGAAGTCTTTGCACAGAAACCTCAGGATGCAGATGAGCAAAGGGAGGCTTCGGACGCCCAGGCCACAAAGCAGCCAAGGGCGGAAGCTGGCTTGTCATCTGGCCTATCTGGGGCCAGTGCTCCGTCCACCACACACATCTAAGAGCTTTCCAGAAGGCAGGCGGCGTGGGCATGATGGGTGGACAGCCGCTCCACGTGGGCCTCACCTGGCAGCATCTTCTTCCAGCAGCAGCTTCACGAACTGCCGGGGCACGTGCAGGGAGAGCACGCTCTCCGCCATCTGCTCCAGGATCCGCAGGTGGTTGCCGTCGGTGGTGGGGAAGCGGTACATGCGGCAGATGGCACCACCGAACACTGAGGGACGTGGAGACGGAGACTGCGTGAGCAGCTGTAGACCTGGCCGGGTCCTCCTCCCACGCCCCCAAGTATCCTGACTGTTCATCTCAATCAAATATTTAAACCCAAAGCCCTCCAGGTGACTGAGCCTGAATGCTCTTCCCCTGGGACATGCATTCCCCTTGTCCCAGAATGAACTACTAACTCCCAAATACAAGGGCTGTGCCAGTGAGGCCGGCAGCCACTAAGGCCAATGTCGGCAAGAGACAGTCACAGAGGTGGGTGGAAAGGGTGACTGTGGGCCCGACTGGACACTCCCAAGAGGGGCAAGAGGACCGTGGAGGAATCCGCTTACCCGATTTCAGCAAAGTGTCTTTACGCAACGAAGCATATTTGGATCGGATTCCCAACGCTTCGGTCAAGCTCTCGTCCACGGGCAGGACCATCTAGTGACGTAGAGAAAAGCACGAGAAGCCATAGGCTCAGGTGAGCCCAGCGCACTCCGCAGGGTGGTGGCGCCAGATCTCATGAAGGAGCTCTTAAGGTGAATGGCACCATCAACTCCACAATGAATAGGTCACCTAGGCCACCGACTGATCAACCCACGTCCCAGAACAGTGGACGTGTCCCACTCAAAATTTTCCAGAAATGCCTGTCTTTCGACTACGTCATTTTTTACCTCATATTTCAGTGTTTTGACATGTAAAGTAAAAGGGAGGGAAAACGATACCCAGAAATATTTCCATAGCTGACGTTCTGGGCTTATCTGGGGTAAAATGACCTGTCTCTGTATTTTAAAATGATATGTACCAGCGCTTCAGTTCTAAACTGGAATTCTAGTCTGAGAGCACAGATTGTCTCTGAACATGAGAGTGAGAGAGAAGGTGAGGAGACAGCATGGGAGGGAAAGGGGATGGGAAGGCAGAGCCTGAGAGGGGGTGTGAGAGGCGGCAGGACGTGTGCAGAATTGAGATGTGTGTGCATGAGGTGACCATGAGCGCCTGAGTGCTTGGGAGAGGAAGGTTCTAACAAAATACCAAAGACAGTCTGGGTCTCATTCCCCACCCCAACCCCAGCCACCTCTCCCCCCTCCTGACTGCACCCCTCCACAACTCTCTCCCCTCCTGACTGCACCCCTCCACAACTCTCTCCCCTCCTGACTGCACCCCTCCACAACTCTCTCCCCTCCTGACTGCACCCCTCCACAACTCTCTCCCCTCCTGACTGCACCCCTCCACAACTCTCTCCCCTCCTGACTGCACCCCCTCCACACCCCTCTCCCTTCCTGACGGCAGCCCCTCCGCCAGGCTCCCCCCACCTCTTCCCATTCTGGAGAGGTGGCCCGTGTGGCCTGGGCAGAGGCAGGCTCCAGGGCAGCAGAGACTGAGGGGCTCCCTTGTCTCCCCTTTGAGAAGCGCCCGGGGGACTGGTAGGTCCTACGGCGGGTCGACAGTGCAGGCCCACCTGCTCCTTCCCTGCGGCAGAGGCAGAGCCCATCTAGACAGGGGCCATCGCTCCTTCCCATGAAGGGGGTGCTCACCCTCCCGTTGATGGTGTCCACAGCCCGGGTCACTGGAGGCCGCTGGTCTGACTTCTCCTCCATCTGCCAGCCGATCACTGTGATGTTACCCACACGGTCACTCTCTGCAGACCTGCAACGAGCAACGCGCTTTGGGAAGTGGCGTCGTGACTGGGCTCCATTTCTGCGTAAGCTCAGCATCTGTCACCGAGGTCCAGGGCGTGCCGGGACCTGGCCGGCTGGCCAGTCGGGCAGCACTTGCTGCACGCCCAGACTCCAGGGGAGGCAGACAGGGAACCCAAGCCCCAGAAGTGCGAGCATGCCTGGGGACCTGAGGGGAGGAGCCAGTGCTTGCTCCCCTGGGCTGACCCCTGCCCCACACAGCAATGGGGACACGTCTGGAAATGAGGACTGGAGAGAACCTTCTTCTGGGACCAGACCCTTCCTGCTCCTTGCCGGCCTCAAGCTTTGATTTTCCCCAAGGCTGAGGCCTGGACCCTAAGTCAGCTGAGGCCACCCAGGGTTTCCCAAAGCCTCTGATTCCTGACACAGCACAGCTGCTGCTACTCCACCCGTCAGGCTCCCCCTGAGATTGCGGGGGTTGCACTGCGTGGGCCCATGTGACTCATCCAGGGACGCCGGGACTGCTATGGAAGACGTCTGACCAAGCCAGTGTCAACTTTCCTGTGGTCACTGCTGTGCCAACTGCCTCTGTGACTCTCAGTGTCCTCATACCTGGAAAGTCCTTTCCCCACACGATCCCAACAGTCACCGTCAGCTTCTCTTACAGAGGATCAAGTCCACTTCTTACGTGTGCGCGGTCCAACTAGGATTGCTCCGGCACATCGTGTACCCGGGTATTTTCCTCTATGACCCCTTTCCCCATGACCCTCTCGTTTCCCTAGGACTCTTCCTCTCTCCCAGTAAGGTCTCCACACCCACCAGGCGCCTGCAGGGCTCCTGTCCTGCCCGATGCCGGCGGCACTGCTATCACCATGGCTGCAGAGAATTAGGGCAGGGAATTAATCCTCTTTGCCAACATTTCCTTTGCTATTTTGGAATGTTTTCCCAATTTTCACATTATTTTGAAAACAAGAACACCAAGTCAGGGGTTGGGTGGGAGTTGCCCCTAAAATGAATTTGGGAAAGGTTGCCATCTTGACATCTTTCTTCCACTGACATGGTGGGGGGTCCCCCCGCCCCCGTAAATATTTATTGAGCCCCAAGCCCTGTTCTATGTGCCTTAGGATACAGCAATGAAGCAAATCAGACAAAAGCCCTGCTTTCTGGGAGCTGACACTCTGCTGGGGAGGAAGCAGACACTATAAACTCATCTCGCCGATCAGATGTGATCGAGGTCTTCCTGCAGGTCTGAGTCCAGCTGTGCTCGATTTCCTGCGGATGCCACACATGCCCCCTCCATCAGCCCCCTGACAGGCTGTTTGCTAAGACAAGCTTCTGGGAGAGGCAGGAAATGGGGCCCTTCCCCATCTGTCCCTGGACCTCAGAACTCGAGATCCTCTCAAAAGAACAAAATTAAATACCAACCTTAGTGTTAAATGCAACCGATGATGCCTGTCCTGGAGCAGATCCTTGACAATGAATGTCCCAGAGCCCAGTAGGTACATCTGAGGAAGAGGGAACACAGCGTGAGCCCGTGCTGTGCCTCGGCCGCATGACCCGGCCGGGGTCGCTGGCTGCTGCCCACAGCACCTCTGACCCTCACTGCAGGAGCCCAACAGGGATGTGCAGGAAGAAATTCCAAAGGCAAATCCCACTGGACATCAATTAGTGAGCCAGTGGTGAAGCCAGGCGCATGTGCTCCTCTTGCTGAAATGACTGCCCAGCTTTAAGAAGCGAAGAAAGGCCCCTGAACCACACGCTACTTAACTGTTCCCTGAGATCTGTCTTTGACGTCGTACACGGAGAGTTTGATCTGCGTCATCTGATTGATGAGAGAGTCTTGGAAGAAGGCAATGCTGCTTAAGAATATAGGGTTGTTGGTTCCCTAGAACGGAAAAGAAAATCCTCAGAACACAGAGGTGAATTTTTAAAGCGATTGTTCATTTCAGAACGAGAAATTAACGTTCTTACCAACTTGGATCAACACAAATGCTCATGGCAGCTTAAACGAATGCAGTCAACGAAAACCCTGTTTTTCAGGAACAAAGGCATCCCACAGACCCCTCCCGATCCAGACACAGCTGGGCCCAGGCGTGTCCCGAGGGCCCCCTCAGTGGGAGGCTTCTATAACATGGAAACAGGCTGACATTCGCGTGTCGTTCAGCTTGAGATACGCTATGCAATTGGATCTACTACTTTGGGCTGTTCTTGTAAGGTGTGCCAAGGTGGATGGAAGAGGAAATGAATAGCTTAAGTCGTTTCTTACTTCTAGAATCCTGTGGTTTGAAATAATTAAGGCCTGACCTATTTAAGCCTATCCCTTTTTTGAGGACTAGCTGCTAGTTTCTAGATCATAGGTGGTTATTCCTGGCAGCTTAGCCTCGCTCCCCCGCCCCCAAAGCCCCACAATAACAAATCTCTTTCTCAGGCAGCATTAGTTACCTCAGCCGAACGGCTAACGGTTGTGCCTGTGTGGGGGCCATGCCCTGGTTGAGCACCCTCTGCAGCTCCAGATCCAGTCTCTCCACACCTGCTGGACAGCGCCGGCCTCCCTCCATCCGCCCCTGTCAACCAGTTCTGACTCTCGACCAAGGAGGCCACCAACTTGGGCATCTGCTTTGGTACCTGCTTCTCTGTCGTTCTCAACCTCCAAGTTACAATAAACTCTTCCATAAACCCTCCCTCGCCCTGGCCAGTATTCTCAGTGGCTAGAGCATCAGCCCGAGCACTGAAGGGTCTCAGGTTCAATTGCCGAGCACATGCCTGGGTTGCAGGTTAAATCCCCGGCTCAGGTCAGGCACGTGCAAGAAACAACCAATTGATGTGCCTCTCTCACATCGATGATTCTCTCTCTCTCTCTCTCTTTTTCCTACTCTCTCTAAAAATCAATGGGAAAAATACACTCTTTCGAGTGAGGATTAACAAAATAACAAAATTTAAAAATCCTCTCTCACAGGCACCCCTTCTGCCCCTCCTTCCCAATGCGGCAGGTGCCACATCGCACTCCCTCACACACCTCTGCTCAGGTGACCCTCACCTGAGCCTAAAACTCCTAGCCTGACTTTTGAGGCATTCCCCTTGCTCTCCACCTGTGCCTTCTGCACACATGAACAGGCTGACGTTATTCTCCAAGACACATGATGCTCCCCATCGCCATTACAGAACTCTGCAATGCTCTGCAGCTGTGGTCTCTAGACCGGCAGTGTGGGCATGACCTGGAGCCTGGGAGAAACAGTGTCTTGGGCCCCACCCAACTTATCGAGTCAGAACTTCACTAAGTGGAGTGGGAAGCCACCTCCGATCCTCAGAACTAGCTGGGAACCCATCCTCCTGGTGCCATCCTCACCCTTCACACACCTGCACTCTGCTAGGTACAGATGCGGACACCTTCATTCATCCCCCCCAACCCCCCAGGATGGCCAACCTCTTGGGGGCAGGGCTGGGGCCTCAATGGCCTCTGCATCACCCGCAGCGCCCAGCACTGTGCTGCGTGTACAGACAGTGCTCAACAAAGGCTTAGAAACAGGACTGCTGACTTGAACTTGGAAATAAGTTTACAAGAGAATGAAAAGGTCTATCTTCCAAGATGTAAAGCTAGGGACGAGGAGGAAGTGCAGTGGAGCCTGCTGGAGATTGCCAGGGTGGACAGTTCACACAGGAGCTCACATCGCCAGCAGAAGCCTGTGGAATCCCACAGCAACGCCTACTCTTAGTTTCACAACTTACACAATGTGCTCAATTATCTAAACGGCTTCTGTAAAATTCCCGAGGTGAGTGCAAAACATTTAGTTTAATGAAAAAGTAAGTATATAACACACAACTCAAAAGGATATAAAGATAAAAACCAATTAACACAGGGCTATGTCCACTAGGAGGGTTGGTTAAGAGTTACTCTCCAACTGGAAGTGACAAGGAAGAATTGGATCTTCCTCTTAAAAGGCAGCCAACTTTATAGCATCACTGTTCAAAAATACCCAGCCAGTAACTGACCAATGATTGTAAAGGACATGGCAAAAACAGTGCCCTCCAGAACTGTGATGAAAAATATCACTTACTAAAAACACATGGACAACAGCAAGAATTCACATAGAAATGATCCCGGCTACATGGGCTCAGGTCGCCGAGCAGCCTCCCCCAGGGTGAGACCGCGGTGAGCCTGTCCCCGAGCCCCGGGCCCAGCAGCACCCACCTCGATGATCTCCGTCTGCGCATGCTTCGTCCAGAATGCCTGCGGCGGGGTGGTCACACTCACTGCTACAAAACTATTTGGTTTCCGATCTAGCGATGGCGTATGCAGCTCACTACAAGCTATGGAATCAAGATGGGAGAAAAGAATCCTTTAAAATCAGGCTCTAGTTAGTTGTGTTCCACACACACTCAAAGAGCAAAGACAGTAAATGACACTCAAAAGGATGAGGCAATTACACGGTCTGTTGTCACAGGGAGCTGATTTTTTAATTGGAAACAATCTTTACTCACCCCCGCCCCGCCCCCCCCACCTCCCCGGACGCCGTGGCAGCAGTGCCCTAGCTGCAGGGAAGGTGAGCCCAAAGGGCTTTCTGCATCCGTGGAATGGAGCACAGAGCCAACAATCTCACATGCACACCTAGTGTACTGAGCATTTTGGGACAGATAAGACTCAGAAGTTCAATGATAGAAGTGACTTACAGGGAAAACGGTCCTATTGCATGGACTCTAACATGTACCTTTGTAAAATACTCTGCGAAAGAAAGATGACCCACTGCCATGAGACCAGCAAATGCTACCGACCATAAGACCCTTTGTCATTACAGAAAAACATGAAGAAACATGCTCCATGGAACTGATTAAATGTACGGCAAATCAAAGTTCTGCACCGGAAGAAGCAGCTTTTCTGGCAGAGCAATAACTACCCCCGAGTGCTTGGCTTTTGTTTGCTTTCGGAGTTCTCAAACAACTGACTTCGACCCTTTTTGTCAGTGTTCTCATTGCCTTTTATGGAGGAAAAAAATTCTGGAGGGCCTCACACTGTTGTTCCTGTTCCCATCTTTCTCATTTGATTTTTAGAATGCTCTTTAGTGATTTAAAATTTAGAAATTAACTTTTACTTCTGGAAATTAACTTTGGTTCTCTGATTATCCCTTGTAATATCATCTCATATATCTTGAATCTTCATTATTTATTGGATACTAGAGGCCCGGTGCACGAGATTCATTCACTGGGGGGAGGGGAGTGTCCCTCAGTCCGGCCTGTGCCCTCTTGCGGTCTGGGACGCCCTGGGGGTGACCACTTGCTGGCTCAGGCCTGCTCCCCGGGGGGATTGGGCCTAAGCTGGCAATCAGACATTCCTCTGGCAGCCTGGCAGCCCTCGGGGGATGTCCACTTGCCAGTGGGGAGCAGACCTAAGCTGCAGTCAGACATCCTTAGCGCTGCTGAGGAAGCAGGAGAGGCTCCCACCACCACTGCTGTACTGGCAGCCATCAGCCTGGTTTGTGGCTGAGCAGAGCTCCCCACTGTGAGAGCGCACTGACCACCAGAGGGCAGCTCCTGCATTGAGCGTCTGGCCCCTGGTGGTCAGTGTGTGTCATAGTGACCAGTCATTCCCAGTCTTTCTGCTGTTAGGGTCAGTTTGCATATTACCCTGTTACTATATAGGATTGAGGCCTGGTGCACGGGAGGGGGGTGGCTGGTTTGCTCTGAAGGGTGTCCAGGATCAGGGTGGGGGTCCGCTTGGGTGCCTGGCCAGCCTGGATGAGGGGCTGATGGCTGTTTGCAGCTGGTCACACCCCCTTCAGGGTGGGGGTCCCCACTGGTGTGCCTGGCCAGCCTGGATGACGGGCTGACGGCTGTTTGCAGCTGGTCACACCCCCTTCAGGGTGCGGGTCCCCACTGGGGTGCCTGGCCAGCCTGGATGACGGGCTGATAGCTGTTTGCAGCTAGTCACACCCTCTTCAGGGTGGGGGGAGTCCTTAATGGGGTGCCTGGCCAGCCTGGATGACGGGCTGATGGCTGTTTGCAGCTGGACACACTCCCTTCACGGTGGGGGTTCCCACTGGGGTGCCTGGCCAGTCTGGGTGAGTGGGTGAGGGCCGTTTTCAGGCTGGCGGGTGACTGAAGCTCCCAGCCTCTCCTTTTTTCTTTTTCTTTTTTATTCTGGGATTTATTTACCTTCTATAGCAGTCACTGGAGCTGAGAGCCGGCTCCAGCTCTGAGGCCGCGGCTGGCTGAAAGCAGGTTTCTGGAGTTTGTTTAGCTTCTATAATTGCAACATTGTTGCATCCAGAGCTCAGAGCTGGGCTGAGGCAGGCAGGGAACCTTGGCTTCCTCCATCACTGGAGCAAGCAAGCCTCCTGCTCGCTTCAGCTGCATGGCTGCCAGCCGCCATGTTTGTTGGCAGTTAATTTGCATATCCTGCTGATTAGCCAATGGGAAGGGTAGTGAAGTTACAGTTAATTACCATGTTTATTATTAGATAGGATAATGAAAGCCTAATATGTAAATTGTCCCTCAGGAGTTCGACTGGGAGTTTGACCACTCGCTATGACGTGCACTGACCACTATGGGGCAGCACGGAACATGGACATCAGCGATGCAGCGCTGGCAGCGGGCAGCAGTAGAGGCACTGCCAGCCTCGATGGGCCCCGACAAGACCAGGACTGTGGCGGGATGGTGGAGCAGGTGAGCGGGCAGCACCAGGCCAAGGCAGGGTGCCAGGCGGGGCCGCGGGGCTGGTGGCGTGAGCTGGGGCTGTGAGCCTGGGGGCACAAGCTGGGACCTGATCCCTGAAGGCTACCCCGAGGCACCCCACCCATGCACAAATTCATACACCAGGCCTCCAGTATCCTAAATAATAAAGAGCCAATATGCAAATAGTCATCACACCCTCACACCCTGGCTGGGAGACCTGAGGCTGTGCCCCTCGCCCTGCGCTGGGGCCGGGAGACCTGAGGCTGGGCGAGGGAATCTGAGGCTGTGCCCCCTGACCCAGGGCTGGGGGATCTGAGGCTGCCCTCCTGCCCGGCGGGGCTTGACAGGGGACCTGAGGTTGCGCCCTCCACCCTGCAGGGATTGACGGGGGTGGAGCTGGCCGGGTCTGGGTGCAGGTGGGCGGGGACTTGACTCTGGGTTCCGTGGTGTGCCCCAGACTCTGACAGGAGGGAGATTTTCATATACATTTTACTAATTTTCTTTCATCTCTGACACTTCTATTATAGACAAAGGGCAAATAGCAGTATTAAAATATTTCCTCTATTAATTCCCTTTTAATGTGCACAAATTTTGTGCACTGGGCCTCTAATAGGATAATAAAATACAAAGAGCTTGGCTTTTGAGTTCTGAGAGTCATATGTACCATGTGACCATCAGCAAAGCAAGGTAGAACTTTTCCCTCAGGCTAGAAAGTTCCCCTTACTTCCAGCCTCTGTGCGCATCACAGCGACCGGTCGTTATGCAGTCACTACCTCACTTCCATCACTGCTGTCTATTCTTGAATTGTACATAAGTGGAATGTTTTAAGATTCATCTATATTGTTCTATATATATATCCCATTGTATAAATGCACCAAGTGTTCTTATCCATGTTGTTAGTAGACATTTGGGTTGCTTCACTTTGAGCCACTATAGATAAAGGTGCTATAAACATTCCTGTTCAAGTCTTTCTGTGAACTGAGGTTTTCCTTTCTCTTGACAAGCACCTAAGGGTGGCATTTCGAGGTTACATCAGAGGACAGGTCTCACTTCACAGCTAACAGTTCTCTAAAGTGGCTGCACCATTTTACAGCCATCACAACGTCCAGGAATGCCAATCACCGCTGACATTTGGTGAGCTTAGTGCTTATTTCTGTTGTTCTAATAGATGTTTTAATTTGCACTTCTGTGATGTGAAGCATCTTTTCACCATATGCTTACTGCCCATTTTTATAACTTCATCAAGAGCCTAATTAAGACTTCTGCTTATTTTTAAATTGGATTGTTGACTTTTTAATTGCTGGTGTGTAAGCATTCTACTGTACAGCTGCCCTCTGTCCAGTATATGTGCTGTGAATATCTTTTTCCCAATCTGTGGTTTATCAGATATTTTCTTAAACATTTTTAGGTTTTATTTTAGATTTTTAATTTTAGGGACTGGTAGGCAGAAAAATGTCCCTCCCCCCAAAAAAGTATCCACGTCCTTGTCCCTGGAACCTGTGAATATATTACATCTCCAGCAAAGGGCTGCAGATGTGACTGGGTCATCGAATCCTCAGATGTGACATGGGAGGTCATTCTGGATCATCTGAGCGGTCTTAATCTGATCACGTGAGCTCTTAAAGCAGAGAGGAAGGTGGAGTCAGAAAGATGTGATCAAGGAGAAAGGTGAGATCCAAGGTATGGAAGGACCCAACCTGGCACTGCTGGCCCTGCAGATGGAAGGGGCCCACAAGCCAAGAAAGGTGAGGGCCTTTCTAAGCCAAGAACCAGCCTCAAATGGCAGCTGGCAAAGAAATGGGAGCACAGTCCTAAAACGGTAAGGAACTAAATTTCGCCAACAATCTGAATGAGCAAAGAAACCCCCCCCTCCCCGAAACCCCAGAAAGGAACGCAGCCCTACTGACGGGCTGACTTTGGTGCTGTAAGGCCCAGTTGAGACCCAGATGAGCCCACTGGAGTTTTGACCTAAGGGAACTGTAAAGAATAGTAAGCTTGTGTCATTGTAGTGCTAAATTTGTGGTGGTGTGTTACGGCAACAATAGCAAACTGAAGCACAGAGTTAGTGCTTTCGCTTTTTAAGAAATCTCGGACCACCCTGAGGCTGAGTTATTTCATTGGTTTACTTCCAGAACCTTTAAGGCTTTATGTTTTAAGTTCTCTTCTATCTTTCCTACGAGTCTACCTCAGCAGCAATCAGGGATTGGACTGTTCTGCCGCCTCCCTCTCCTTTATGCTGTGCCCTTAAGATAGCCCTGGTCTGGTCCCTCTCGGCTTGCCTTCACCAGGTGTGGTTCACACACATGCAAGGCCAGAATAGCTGGGTTTCCAAATACAACGGATGGCTGAGCAATAACAGGTGGCCAAAGGCGGGAAAACGTATCAGTTTAAGGGCTGATGAGCCAAATGCCACCTTCAGAACACACCTTCCCACAAGTGACATTCCCTCCTGGCCTCACCCCCGACCCAGCCTACCTAAATGTCAGCCAATGTTTAATTCCTAGCTCTGAGTTCCATAGCTCCCACAAGGCTTTCTCTCAGCAGTCCCCGGCCCCCTCTCCTTCTGTTTACTGCTTATATCACTCCTTCAGTCTGTTTCCACAGAAACCATTAATCTCTGACATGCACGCCTTGTCTCTCCAACCATATCACCTGTAATCCCAGCTGAGCAAACACTGCTGAGGTAAAGAATAAAGCATATTTCAGGTGCATATCATTTGACTCAGCAATTATAGTGGCAAACGGGAGGGAACCTAGGGGTCACCAACAGAGACGGGTTACGGGGAGTGTGGCACAGCCGAACGCAGATTCTCTCTGGGCACCCAGTACGATGAGGCAGTTCCATGTTTATTAGAATGAAAGGTGCCAGTGATATTTTGCTACATGAGAGAAAAAGCCATGTTAACACTAGGGTGACATTTCTGTAAGGAATTCCACCATCTACAAACCAAAATCATTATAGTGCTGTGTGGGTGCAAAAATACCTGGACGGACTCACACCAAAATGCCATCTCTGAGTTTCTCTCTCTCAGGATTTTCTTTTCCTCTAACATTTGCTGTAATAGATGTTTTAAAATAAGTACTTTCCTTTTTGTTAATCCTTACCCAAGGACATTTTTTTCCTATTGGTTTTTAGAGAGAGTGGAAGGGAAGAAAGGAGGAAGGGAAGGAGGGAGGAGGAGGAGAAGGGGAGAGAAAGAGAGAGAAAACATCAATGTAAGAGAGACACATTGACTCGCTGCCTCCTGCAGGTGCCCCAACTGGGCCAGGGATAGAACCTGCAACCCAGGTATGTGCCCTTGACTGGGAATTGAACCCATGATCCTTCAGTCCGTGGGTGAATGCTCTAACCATCTAGCACCACTGGCCAGGACAGTCTATATATTATTAAGATAAAACATTTGATCAATCATCTGGCTCCTCACCTTTTTTGCGTAACTGTGGTAAAATTCGCCCTCACCTTCTAAGGCTGTTTCATCCTCTATGTCTGTATTACTTGGCTTGTCACATGCAGAAACAGCCTGATTCCTATCCAGGGGTGAGGGTCTCAACTCAATTCTATCAACTCTCACGCTCTCTGTGCTCCATCAGTCTAGCTCCTTGTTTGGTTAACTCCATTCTGCATCATTAAATCCATATCCTGTGAGCAGTTTTCATTATAAGCCAAGTGGGGTTTCTTTCACTTCTCTCCTGTGCTGGGCCCTACCTGTTTCCTAGACCCCAGGTCGCCCTTCTTCTCCATTCACGCCCCTTGTCGTGAAGCAAACCCTCCACCAACGTCCAGAGAAAGGATGTGGGGAAGTAAGTTTTTCTGAGACTCTGTAGCCGAGACAAGTTTCCTCCTACCCTCACATTGGACTGACAGCCTGGCTGAGCACAGCATTCTGGGTAGGAAACAGTTCTCTCCCCGCATTGAAGGTGCTGCCCGCTGCCTTCACGTTCCCGTGTGGCGGAGCATCTCCACACTCACTTCATCCCTGGTCCGTGGATGTGCCCTCCTCTGAGTTTCAGAGTCTTCACTGGATTACCCGTGCTGTGAAATTTTACCCGATGGGTCTCAGGACAGGTGTTTTCAACATTCGGGGCCTGGTAGGCATTTTTAACCCAGACACACCTTCTTCAGTCCTGACAGACCCTGGTGCCACTGCCTGGTCATTCCCTCCCTCACATTCTTTTCTCTTTTCTCTACTAAGTTTCAGACCTCCCAAATCTGCTCTCTAATTTTCCATTTCAATTTCTCTCCTGTTTTCTATTTCACTTTTAAAGTTTTACTTTCTCAGATAATTCCTTGAATATCTTCCATACTTTATTGAATTTTAAAATATTTTCTACCCTATTTTAAATTTCTAAAATTATCCATGTTTTCCAACTGTTCTCTTTCTCTTTAGAGCACCCTGTTTTTATTGGATGTATACACCATCTTCTCTTGAGGCTATAAATTATATTCTAAAATATATAATTTAGTATATAAAATACACAGTAACTATATTCATGTAAATATAAAATTTATATATAACCCACGTGTCCATCAGCAGAATAAACTATGGTTGGTGCACACAATGGAAGCCACTCAGCAAGGCAGGATGAGTCTGGCCGCAGAACTGCACGTCCAGCACGAGTCCAGAGCATTACCGAAGTGAGCACGGTGCACCCAGAGGCTGGGCACTGCATGGTTCTATCATGTGAAACTCTCGCGGCCTCACTGCAGTGATGGAAACAGGCCGACAGCTGACTGGGAGTGAGGCTGAGGACATGAGAATCCTTTGGGGCGATGGCAAGGCTAGTGGTTACATACATAATATGCTTATCAAAACTCACTGATGCTACACTTAAAATGGGTACATTTTACATACAAATTATACCTCAATGTTGACTTAAAACAAAATGAAAGAAGAGTCAAAGATGACCAGACTTTACTGAAGGCCTGCAACATGAAAGAAAAGATAGAACTTGGAAGAATAGAGAACTTGCAGAAAGTAAAAGACAAGGTCAAAGAAAGTACATGTCAAAGAAATGATATGCTGCACAGAGTCTGTTTCTGTTTCTTACTCTCCCTGATGTTTGGGGACAAGGGTGGAAGCGTGCTCACACTTTGCTGTGCAACTTGGACTGGCATCACAGTTTGTAAAGAGCAATAAAGGTCTAGGTTGGTGGGCATCCCGTACACAGCTGTGCTCACTACCCACTGCAGACCAGGCATCTGGCAAGGGCTGGGGACCCTGAACTAGTTTAGGAGCATGAAACCTGTAATGAGGACGTTTTCAGAGTTTAAAATTTGGTGATAATGCACTTATATTTTTATGGGTTTAGCAACATGTCAAAGCCCTTGTTTTATTTTAACCACCATGAGCTTGTCTCTCAAATGGCAACACTTCATACGACTCATGAAGAAACCCATCCAGCAAGGTCAAGGGCAGGCTCAAGGCTGGGCACTTAGTTTACAGCACAGTCTGGATAAGATTCCAGGTCATCTGGTTCACAGCACCTCTTGGACACCTCTGCCAGGCCACTGGCCAATGCTGACCCCCGTCCAGGAGATGCGGGGAGGGGAGAGGACCACCAGAGCTCAGTGTCCCCAGAGGAGCTTCCCAGCTGACCATGCCTTCTCTCCTGCCACACTTCCCGATCCCAGGGCTGGCACAGTCTCTCTGATGCTCTGAGAGGGAGAGCACGCAAGTGTCATCACCTCCGGTCACAGAGTAGGGAATGAGGACTAGGAAGCTAAACTCAACCACACAGGCCTCCTGGCCAGGGGCTGACACCGCTAGCCCTAAACCCCGCTTTCTCACCCCTCCCGGTCTCGGCAGCTCACGGTGGGCTCACCACTTCCAGCCCTGCAGGCATAGTCCCCCAGGCCCCCTCCCCCACAGGAAGTCCACATCAGCCTCCAGGTTCATCTTCTCAGCAACACGTCAGCAGCAGATGGTGGCAGCAAGGCCTCTAAGACTCGGGCCAGCAGTTGTGTTTTTGTTTTTGAGCAACATATATTGTTACCTAAAACAATGAAAGACACCCACCTAAGCTGAACTCTAAAATGGGTTCATCTGGATCTTGTAGATTTCCTGAATAAAAAAGAAATGCCAGACAAAAGTCAGTCTTAATCAACTTTTCCCTGCTTTCAGATTTTATACAAAAAACACACAACCCCAACACATTTATCATCATTTCACAGTGTTTGCAAATTGAACCGTCATGCCGCACACCTTAAATGCATACAGTGATATGTGTCAATTATTTCTCAATAAAACTGGGGGGAGGGGGAACTCCAACATTCTACTTATTTTTATATCCAAAACTTATGTGAGGTGATTTCTTCATTTTATAAACTTTTTGTTTTGAGATTTCTAGAAAGTCTCAGACTCTAAAACCAAACCCCTACCTTTCCAGGTCTGCATACCCACAACAGACAGGCCTTTTACTATGGCCTGGGCATTGGCCAGACAGGCCCCATGGACACTCCCACATCATCTCCTGGCTGGAAACCTGCAGCAGACTGGCTCCCTCGGAGGCAGTGTCAGGGAGAGTGCTGGCTTTCTCCTCCCTATTCTGACTCACCCAGAGGAGGCACCCTCCAGCCTGGGGCAGTCACAGGGGGCTCATATTGGCTGTCCACCAGGTGCCCAAGGCGGCATGCGTGGCCCTCCCAGAACTGCCATGTCGGAACCACTGGAGCCGCCCCAAGAGGCTCACCTGCCAGAGAGAGGCCAAGCATGTCAGCTGCCACATCAATGGTGGAAGCCCGCTGCAGTGCACGGGCCCTGGCGCCATGGCGAGGGCTGTGCTCTCTTGCTGTCATGATGTCATTGGTGATGATGTGTTTCCTGCTCCTGGGTCAGACCACGCCTGACTCCCTGGGAAGAGCTGTCATCCAGCCCTATCCCCTACGGTGGCAGCAGTCCTGAGAAATGGGAACGAACAATGGGAAGAAGTACAGATAGTGGCAGAAAGGCACTGTGAGATCACAGAGAGTGCGTGAGCTATGCGAGCAGGCACAGCAAGGCCAGGGTCCCAGCAGGTCGGGCCGGGGGAAGAAGAGTCTGATGGTCTAGGTCTCTTCAGTCACCACGTTCCCTACGCTCCCCAGCGCACTCACACAACAACACCGCAGGCCCATACAGAAATCGTGTTCTCTCTGACAAAGACATGCCACCTTAAATGATGTTTTACAACAACCGTAAAACATGGCTTTTGAGATTTTATTTGCTTTATTAAGCTTTCCCATTGGCAAGTCTCATAGAATTTCATAAAATTTAAAGCCAACTCGCTACAACCTCTGTTAGGATACAGGTGCATGAAGGGGTTTGCCACCCTGGTTACAACAGCTCGGTGGGACACGGGACAGACAAAGGCACATGCCCTCCAACCTTGCCCTCTTTCTTCCCAGAGCTACAGAAACTTCATGTGGGCCTTGGTCCTGCCTTTCTTTCCCACAAAACATGTATGTGATCCTCTCGAGAGCCGAGTGCTGCGCTGGGGTGTGGCCATCTCTGAGAGCGGCCTCTGCTGGCTGGGTCAGACAGCCTCCACATGGGAAGCAGCAAGAAGTGAGTTTCACATTTTCCCAGCCCCATAGGTGGTCATTCCTGCTGTCTCTAGAAGGAACCACCCTTTAGAAGGTTAGGCAATGAGACGGAGCAGAAGGGCTGGTTTAAAACACCCCTCTCCAAGCCTGCGATTTCCAGACGCCCCGTCTTCTCTCCTCTACCTGAAGGGCCCATGGTCCCGCTCTTGAGGAGGTTCACTCACCCAGCAACTTACTGGACATGTTTGTTCTTGTTTCAGTAGTGACACGTGGCATTTCTTCATAGGAGCATCTCCAAATCCATCACCTAAAAATAGAAAGTTATACACTTAACAAGCTGGTCAACACGCAGGGAGTTCTTGTGAAAGAATCTATACTAATAAAAGGGTAATATGCTAATTAGACCGGACATTTTCCAGATGTCCTTCTTGACAAAGCCATGGTGGTGGGGGCCAAGGTAGAAGCAGTTAAGGGCGATCAGACCAGCAGGGGAAGGCAGTTAGGGGGTGATCAGGCTGGCAGGCAGAGGCAGTTAGGAGCCAGCGGTCCCGGATTGTGAGAGGGATGTCCGACTGCCTGTTTAGGTCCAAGATCCCCGGGATCAGGCCTAAACAGGCAGTCAGAGATCTCCTGAGGGGTCCCGGATTGGAGAGGGTGCAGGCCGGCCTGAGGGACCTCTCCTCCCGTGCACAAATTTCGTGCACCAGGCCTCTAGTACATTATAATTCCAATACCTAGAAATATGGGAATGCCACAAGCTGTTTCATGTTCCTCTTTCCACACACCAATCTAACCTTCTGGCTCAAAAACAAAGGTTTTGCTCAAAGCCCAAAAGAATGAGAACTAGACAGTACACACTCTGTTCCACTCCAGGGGTGACCCAGGGGAATTTGGGGCGGCCCCAAAGAGCCACGTGAGCAGCTGGGGTGGATCAGGGAAAATGAGGAGGTGAGGATCTGAGTCCAAGTCCTCCCTCCCATAGGTCTCAGGTCCGAAGAGAGCTGCTGGGCCCCTCCGAGTCTCTGCATTTTGCTGTCTAAGATGAAGCTAGTTGTACCCATCTCACAGGGTGCAGTGAGAACCAGACCTTCCACAACGGGAGAGGGCTCTGCAAACTCCACTGGGCTCCCCAAACTCTGTTGGCCTCCCACAGTGAAGCAGGCAGGGGCCACTGTGAAATAGGACCCCCCCCCCCCCGACTCTGACTCAGTCCTCGCACTGCTGGGGAGCTGTTGGGCGAACCTGGGGGCCCAGCACATGAGCCATCTGAAAATGCCAGGGCCTGGGGTGCAGACCACTGGAAGGGCAGTGCTCTCACCCTGGGCAAAAACTCAGTCCCTGGAGGTTGTGCTCCTGCCTCTCCCACTGAGACACCCAGTGACCTTCAGCCGGGCGCCTCAGCAGAGAAGCATGGCCTGGCTGGGGTCACAATAGAAGTCACCAGGGGAAGATGCATCAGTTTGCTGAAATCGGAAGGCATACAAGTCAAAAATATCCAATAAAAATGGGAAAGTACTTATAGTATTAATATCTGTGAATTTGTAACTTACAAATTAATTTTAAAAACTCACTAAAAATCCAAGTAGCAAAAGGTAAGAATTAATAAAAGAGTAATACATGTGGTAAACATTTTGAACAGGGGCCAGACTCATTCATAATAATAAAAGGAATGCTCCCCACACCTACATTCCCTAAATTAGTCTGCCAAAAGCAGTTAGTTCTATTGAGAATATGCTTTGTGGGCGGACCTAGAGGAAATTCCATAGGACTGTCCTGTAGTGCTGATGACATGTTAGAGTACTACAAGCATTTTGGAAAAGAAGCTAACATTACTTATCAAAATTTGTCCACAACAAAATTCTCGCCAATGATCCAGAGATGCTTACTGCAGTATGACTTACAACGACAAACTGAGACCAACCCAAGTGCCCACTGCAGGTGTCAGTGTCAACGTCTGTGAACACTGACATACGGCTGTTCGCATGGTCATAATAAAGCCAACAACCACATGGACCCTTCTTCCACCTCATTAGCCACCAGGAAAAGGCACGTCATGGGCATGAGATAGCGCATACCCACTAGAATAGCTGAAATGAAAAGACGGCAATACCAAGTGTTGGTGAGGATGAGGAGTGATGGCCCTGATATACTGCTGGAGGAGTCAAGGGCATGGCCACTCTGGAAAATGCAGTATCTACTCAAACCGAACACTCATCCACCCCAGAATCTGGAATTGCTAACAGAAATGTATACTTATATTCCCCCCAAAAGAATGTGAAGAACATTTAGAGCAGTAACATTTATAACAGTCAAAAACCAGAAACAACCCAAATGCCCACCAAGAGCAGATGAACACAACACAGGTGACTCCTAGAAATGATATCAAGGGGAGAGCCAGGCACACAGAGCACATCTAGGCAACTGTGTTTCTATGAGGTTTGGGCACAGCCCAATGAGCCCTTGGTGTTAGAGTCCAGATGCTGGTATTTCTGAGGGGTGAGTACTGATGGTGGGAGGAGGGGAGGGGTCCTACCTCAATAAAAAGTTTAATTTTTTCAGTGGCTGCAATGGAGACAACACAGTATGAAAGATGTTTACGTCAGTTCTGCATCATGTGGGTTTTCCACACACTATTCCACCTATGTTCTGGTTATAGCCATTCCTTAAAAAAATGTAACACAAAGGCAAAGAGCCAGCAGGAGGCCACAGCAAGACAGTGGCCATGTCTGAGGACATGATGGGGAGCAGGGGAGAAGAGGGGAAATGGCTTCCTTTCTTGGCTATCACCCCCTTGCATCACTGAAATCTGCACCCCCTGCTGGTGGAGGCAGAGGTGGCACCTGGAGATGAATCAGCCAGGAAGGAGCTCTTCTCTCTTGAACCTCCCCCCGTCCCCCAGCTTATTCATGAAGATACAGCCACCTTCCCTTCAGTTGGGACAGCAGAGACTTGCCACCTACCACAGGGCTGCATCTCACCTTGACATCTCAAACGCCCAAGGGAGGCTCCCATCCCCCTTCCCCTGCAGAGTCCCTGCCCACTCCACCCACCTGCCTTTCCCCTAGGCCAGTGGCTCTCAACCTCCCTTTAATACAGTTCCTCATGTTGTGGTGACCCTCAATTTCATTGTTACAAATTGAACATAATTAAAGCATAGTGATTAATCACAAAAACAATATGTAATTATATATGTGTTTTCCGATGGTCTTAGGCGAACCCTGTGAAAGGGTCGTTTGACCCCCAAAGGGGTCGCGACACCCACAGGTTGAGAACCGCTGCCCTAGGAGGGAGTTTAGTATTATAGGCATTATGAGATTCTGGGGGTATACATGCTTCAAGGGGAACATCTACAGACTAGTTTTACAAACTTGATAGAGTTCACAGATCATAGAAGCTTTCAGGTCAAAAAGACCTCAGAAGGTACTTGGTGGTTACTTGGGGGCATTTAATTAGAATCTGCAATTTAAGTCATCAAGACCCAGAACAAAACGCTAATTTGCACAGCCAAACTCAATTCCCGTATTAGTCTCATTAATTTAAGGTGATTCACCAAGGATTCCCATATTCCCATGGTCCCTGTTTTCTTCCTCATTTGAAGATTGAAGCTCATTAGAAGCAAAACTACTCTAAAAATAAAGAGGACAGAAGGGGAGGGAGCGGTTTGGAGGACTGGGCTGGTAGGGAGGCGAGAAGGCGGCAGGAGCACTCAGGACACTCACTGCCTCCTCTTCCTCACTCAGAGAGCCACGTGGTCCTGGCCATCGAACCAGCCATATGGGCGTAGAGGGATGAGGGCAGGGGGGCACGCGAGGCAGGGGGGCAAGCGAGGCAGAGAGGCAGCAAGGGAGGCCAGGACTCACACAGCTTCATGGGACTAGTGAGGATGGCACCACTGTCAGAAGCTTCTCCAGGGGCCAGTCTTGCCCGCCTCCAGAGACCAGGCAACTTGTCTCGGGCAAGGAAGGCTGGCCCCTCCACTCAGTCACCCCTGGGGAGGACTAATCATGGAGCCCCGCTGTTTACAACTTACTTTATTTATTTATTTATTTATTTATTTATTTGGTTAATCCTCACCCGAGGATATTTTTTTCCATTGATTTTTAGAGAGAGTGGAAAGGAGGGAGGTAGGGAGGGAGGAAGAGAGAGAGATATCAGTGTGAGACACATTGATTGGTTGCCTCCTGCACGAGCCCCAAACAGGGCTGGGGATCAAACCTGCAACCCAGGTATGTGCCCTTGACTGGGAATCGAACCCGAGACTCTTCAGTGTGAGGACGGATGCTCTAACCATGAGCCACACCGGCCAGGGCCAAAGCCCTACTTTTATTCATCTTAAACACTGGGGTTCTTCTGAAAATAATCTTGAAAAGGAGATGCACAGGTGAGGTCACAGAAATCCAGACACTTTCTCAGGGTCATGTAGAGGTACAGGGTGAACTGAGAAACAACCCAAAGCCAAAGGCCAAGTACAGCTGGTGCTGTTCTCTCTGCCCTTCATAGCTCAGCATCCCTCTCGCTGTCGCTGGGAGCCAGGGGCTAAGAGCAAGCCTTCCTGGGCCTTGCTCTCCTAACTCAGGCAACAGTGAGAGAAAGTCAGAGAGAAAGGCTGAGTGAGTCAGCACGTGAGTCAGCAGCGCTGAGGAAGAGGCCACCTCCGGAGCCAGAAGAGGAAGAGTTTTCTCTCAAAACCCCTAAAACCAGGACAGCCACAAGCACCGAGTGATGAGGCATCCCATGGCTCACTGGCACCCAAACCTGGGAGAGGGCTGCTGCCCGCCCCCCGCCCCGCCGGCAGCACGCATGCCCTGTACGCAGCCAGCACCCATAGCCTGTCCTTCCAGAGGTGCCCTGACACAGCTGCAGTCTGTCCCTCCATGATGACCCGCTGGGACCTGTGTCTTATGAATAACAGACTTAACTCCTTGCTTCTTCCACACCCTCCTGGTGCAAAGACCAGGTTTTAGACAAACACCTGCTGGTAAACAAACCTTAAACACCTGTGGCGACTGTTGCTCACCAGAGTCTGGCTTTTTCCTGCCTCCGAGATACCCAACAGACAACTCCCGGCCCCTTCCCTCCAGTGCTGGAGAAAGCCTGCAGGGAGCCGCTCCCTCCCTCCCGCCTCCTGTTCCCATGCCACACTGGCTGAGGGTGAGGCGAGGCTCACTGTGAGCACAGCTCCACTCAGGAAACACCGCCTAATGCAGGAGCACACTGCAAACATCAGCCCAGGCTGCTAAGAATTAAATGTGGGAAACTAATGGGCCTTAGGAAGTCAAGCCCAGGAAAACAGAAAATGTGCAGTCG